TGTTGGTGTTGTGTGTGTTGGTGTTGTGTGTGTTGGTGTTGTGTGTGTTGGTGTTGTGTTGTGTGTTGTGTTGTTTTGGAAAAGTGTACAATTATTCCTTACTAAGTATAATTATACATATATATATTTTTTTATCTAGTTTAAGTATCTAAATAGCACTTTCTTTACTCCAATCAACTCTTGTAGGACAACCCACTAACAACCACCATAGGGAATGAAATCCAAAAATGACCTCTTGACCCGTCTCCAGCTGTCTACTCGACAGCTACCACTGAAGACTATTAACTTGGCTCTTGTGTTATATTTTTTTGTCCAAGGAAACTGAAGGATCTTGGTCTTCTTCGGTTCAACACATTATACTGTAGTATTGATAGAAAGCAGGCCTGTGGCATTCAGAACAACGAACAAGAATTATGTGGAGTCTAAATTTCTGTAGAGTAGCAGGAGTTACAGGTCTCTCCACCAAAAACCGTATGTCTCATCAAATTTTTTCCCGTCACAAGTATCGTGGGGCTGCTCTCTTACCACAATTGCTTCCACCTGTTACAGGTCGAGGTCAGCAGCGAGGACACCCTAGCCCGCTTCAAGCAATGGGAAGTCGACGAGTGACCACAAGCATATCGCCTATCCGGATGAAGCCGATTTCTCCTTGTCACGTTAGCCCAAGAGGTATTACTTTTCGCTTAAACGCAGCTCGTAAAGAATATGTAGTCGCTTGTCAATGTTATTCCTTGTAGTTTGTCCCTTTGTCGAAAGCGAAACTATAACTACCTAAGTTTTCTGCGTTGTACTAAGCTTCCCCATACGATTTCTAGGTCCTCTCCCGATGCGAACAAAGAGTTCAGCTGATAGCCTGCAAGCTGCAGCGGGTGGGGGATCAGAAAAGCGCGGTAGTGTGCAAAAAAGCGTGTTGAGCCCACTGTCGAATTGGTCCGGCTCTCCGGATCTTGAAAAGAATGGCTCATCCGTGAATCGGGAAGGTGATAAAGTTGGCCTACCAACATCAAATAGATCATCTGGTGCAAGTGGCGGCGGTTCATCTTCGCTCGGCCAACGCCAGCGCGACGACGGATTCCTACAACACGGAAATTCTCAGCAACAGTCAGCAAGTAGTAGTAACCCTCGTACTAGTAGCTTTTCCTCTCATTCAGAGAATCACAGGAACTTGGGTAGTAGAGGGCGGGCGCCCTTGAGCAGTCGAGAAATCGCACTGTTCGTCGAAGATTTTCGGCGAGCCGTGATCGAACATCCAGGGCATCCGATCGATGAGGCGTGGATACAGCAAGAAAAGAATGTCGATGCGGAGCAGATCCTTTGTCAATGCGCAGACATCGAACACTTCTACTTTTTCGACCGACGCGACATCATTTCGAAGCTGATCGATTACCGACCGTGTCAGCTGTGCGACATCCCGGAAGACAGCGTGCTGGCGCTCTGATTGTGCGGTGATAACATAAGTATGATCAATTTTTCAGGATACGCAAGTGCGAAAATATATTCAAAGAAAAGTTGCAGATATGCCGCCGCGCGCTCGCTCTCAGTATGTATTTCAGAGTTAAGAAACAAACTTCGTTTTAACATCAATAGCACGTGGACTCGTCTGAACTTCCATTTTTGTATCAATGATAGCAAGCACTGCAGTGAAAAAAGCTGAATGATTTTGATTTCTGAAACACACAGAAACGCTTCTGATGTGCGTTGCTACTTTTATACACTGATATTTTTTGAATCCCTCTGGTCTTTTAGAAATAAGAAAACTAACAACATATTTTTATCCTATTCGAAATTAAATGGGCATACCAGCCAATAACGGCCACCACCAACTACTCTGCATACTAGGAGATATCGGTGGGTTCTTGAAAGCAGGAAATTTCGGTAACAATAATAATATAATCAATGTTGTCGAACCGCAGATATTAGTCGTATGATGGAATGAGAACTTGTGTTTATCGCACTGCTTGGGTTTTCGTAGGTAGATGATTTGCACCTGGCTTAAAAGTAACCTATCCAGAAAGTTCGGTTTTGCGTTTGAAAAATAGTTGCGGCGGTTATTTCACTCTTTCTGTTTTTATATGATTCCTTACGAAAAAATACTAGATTTTTCCCGTTGTTTTATTCCTACTAAATACTTTTTTATGGACTGGAATGGTTTTTGTTTCTCGGCTGTGACAAGACGCTCATACGATATTTTTGACTTTGCAAGGACAGAAGAATTTCAGAAAGGAACGAAGCACTAGCTCTATCTGTTTTGGATTTGACAGCTTGGAGCACTGGCAGCATCTGCTGACATACCAGATTATGAGCACGAAAAGAAAACAAATCGAAAAATGTAGATGTTCTTAAAAGACGTGCTATAGTCGTGAATGAATGCTCACTCCTATCTTATCCTTCTCAAGCGGGCTCGATTTATACCTGTTGACGAAAGTCCAGCCTTGCATTGAATCGCGATCCGTTTTAGACTCAGTATGCTCCTTGGGCGACAACAGATGCCTTACATATCGGTCCAAATTATGAATCTTCGAACTTAGGATCCACACAATCACAGGCCAAGCTGGTGCGTGGAAACAAATTTGAAAACCTTGGAATGTAATGCAATGAGAATCGCAAGAAAGTCCGCCTCCCGTGATACTTCCAACACACCTCCAACTCCAACAAGTCTCCAGGCGACACGTCTGAACATGAAGAAGTCCAAATTCTAATTTTCTATTATAATAGATGTTGATCTTTTGCAATAACAAAAGAATCGTGCAGAAGATCCTGAGTCAGTATCTTCACGTGCAAGGATATATCCCTCTACAAACACACTGCATAGAACTGCCAGAACATGAAAAGTGTGAAGAAGAGAATCCAACACTTGTTCGTGCAGAATGTATCAACCACAATCACTGTCGCCGTGGGAAGATGTGTTATGAATAATATCTGTCATCATGGCACTATCGCATGCGCTGCTGGAGTAGGTATCACTTTGTCTCTAGTACACGACGAGTAGCGAGTCGTATCCTATGAATGTGTCTTCTTTGTTGTGGTATCGTTGTTGTTGTCGATGATCCCTAGTTGTGACAGCGTCCATGATCAGACGAGTGTGTATCATAAAGACTTGGAAACTTCATTGGGGGGCCTGTAGCCGTTCTGGAGCCATGGCCTCTGCAAGTCAAACCAGAAACCTTCTAAAATTCTAATTTTATTCCTCCGAATTTGAATATCAACTACACACAGCAATTTATACCTGGTTCTAAAAGACGAACGTCTCGTTGGTTATTTCTGTTTGTAGAAACTACGGCTCTGCCTTGGTTTCTATTTTTCGAAAGAATTTCTGTTCACTACAAACACCACTTAACAGGAGGCTGTATGTAAAAGGTTTTGCGAGAATACCGTCATTGTGTCCACTTTCTTTAAGTAGGTCTGCGTAAGCTTATAATTTGTTTTCTCCTCGTTGTTGCTCTCGAAGTCACTGAATTGATTCTTCTGGTTTTCTAAAAAAGACTTAGGACTCAAAGCAAGTGTAACGGTGTCGGCATCAACTACTAGTGCTCTCTTAGCAGAATAATTTAGACAAAATGGGTTTCGGACGCGCAAAGGGAGGCAAGAAGGGCGGCAAGGGTACACATCACCATAGTTTTCTCCCACTTTCTTGATGTGTATTTTCTTTCACGGGTGGCAGATCTGTCCAGCAAATAAACATTCAGTTCTAGTATGTATCCTCATCGTTCAAAACACGAGCAAAAGTTACGATGTCTTACGAATTCCCTTTATTTGTTTCGTATGTAGGCGTCCGCAAGGAAAAAGGATCCGGAAAGAAGGGATATGGTACTGGCGTGTCTTCCAAGAAAGGTGGATCAAAAGGAGGAAAGAAAGGAGCCAGCGCAATGAAGAAAGGAAAGGGTACTCAACGGCTTTAACTATTGTTCTTGCTTAGATATAGGATTTAGTCACAACTTTTTGCTTGTAGATTTATTAGATCAAGAACTTATTGGAACGAAATTACACGAAACTCGGTATAGCTAACCTGACTAGCTACACGGAAGCGTGTTAAAAATACGATGTCATCCTTGAAAGTACGAAAGAAGATAGAACACCAATCAAGTCACGTGAATTATAGATTTAATGATACGGCTTTTGTTTCTACGACAAGTTTTTCTCATGTTTCTTCTTTACACTTTCATCTGCAGGAAAGGGAGGCAAGGGCAAGGGAAAAGGAAAGGGCAAGGAGCCAAAGACAGAAGATCTGGATAAGGAGCTCGCGGAGTACATGGGAGAAGACGTCATGGGAAAGCGCCTCGACGGCGAACTTGATGCCTACATGAAGGCGGAGTAAGCTCTTTCAACGTGGAGGAAGAAAATGAAGGAGAAAAAGAAGAGGTGGAAGTGGAAATCTTCGTCTAGAAGCAGTTTGCATGTTGATGAGAACTGGCGGTGGCGGTAGTAGATCTGCACTAGTAAGAGACTCCGTTCCACTTGCTGAAGGAGAAGAAAATGGAGCAGACGAAACAGCTTGTATGTTGTCGTGCGTCTTCATCCTCAAGGTGGGAGGTAGAACATGCTAGAAGAGAAGGGCCGACTGCGTACAAGATGCAGACTAGAGGACTTTTCCGTTTACTGGTATTACTACTACTTACAAGAAAATATTGAGTTCGTCTACTAGGAGGAGCAAGAAGTTCATCCGACAAGAACTGGTGAGAGAAGTCGTGGTGAGGCAAGGCATCACTACACCAACTACTTCTTCTCCAGTCTGGTAGGCCTGGAGGTAACGTTGTACTAGCTTACCACCAGTTGTAGCATGATGAAATGACGACGAGGTGGCAGTGGTTCAGCTGATCTGGTGGTGTAATACTTCTCCTACAAACTCATGAAGATGAAGATGATGATCAGTTGCGCGAAGATCTATGGGTGAGGATGACGATAGAAGTAAAAAAATGATCACCAATCCAACATCAACTTCCTCATCGGGGGCCGAAAAGGTGCGCCTCGTCGTCTACTCATTGAATCAAGTTCGATCCTCTACTGCTTTTGATGGATTGTCACTCGTCAATGAGGTGGACACACACTACAATTCTATTTCCTATTTGTTAGCAATTCATCCTAGGAAGGAAGATCTTTTGGCAATTACCTGCTTATATCTTTGATGATATCTTCCACACTTACTTCATTGAAGAAGATGTTCACTCATACATTTTGTTTTCTAGGGCGCAAAGTAGAACAAGTTGCTACCTAGGAGACCGCGCATGCTGGGAGCACGAGGAGCAGGAATACGCTTTCCGGTAGCTGTTATGGCGGTCGGCGAGCATCAATCCTGTTATTCAACAACATTGTGAACAAGACACCTCATATGATATGAATATTTCCTAGCTTGTATGATCCTGAAAGTAAAAAGGTGAATCACACATAATGACGGTTCTATAAGCAGATGAAGCAGCTTGGCTGGAATAACGAAACATTTGCGCATGTTAGGAAGCACCATTGCAAAAAAAGTCTTTGGTGCCGTCATGTATGATCATAGAAGAAGTGCTACTACCACTCATTCATAGTGTCGAAGATGTTTACATGTAGTACACCAATTTGGGACTTAATACTCAAGATGAAAAACCCGACAAGCACCAAATTGTCAACTCTTAATTTCATGTCAACAGCAACCACAGCACAACCCTAAAAGAATTTTTTCTAATGTCTTCACATATCTCCAATACGACTCAGTCACTCGCAAACAAGAAGCAGAAAATTTTTTATTATGATCCAATCGATATTAGATGAAGTAAAACCTCACGGCCGCGCATGCGCAAAAAAATCCAATCTTGAGCGTGCCAGTGGTTATGCACATGTCCTCTTGGCCAGATGAGGCGGTCAGTGAAGAACCGGATGTTTTCACTTGCGGAAGCTCTCTTGTGTGTCTAGGCTACTTGTGGAGTTGGTTCTCTTGACTAATAGAACATTTCCTGTTGGTGTGAGCAGTAAGTGACTTTCTACATTCAGATTGTGTGAAAAAAATGGCGTTCAGTCACTTACAACGGAGTCGGTTTTCATCTTTGACTATTAAGCTGTTTATGATTTTTTGAGAGACAAAAGGGAGACGTGAATGCCACAAGAAGACGTCTGTGATCTATTAGAAGAAGAGGATGTCCTGCATCGGTGAACGACCGCAGTCCTTCTTCTCATATCAAAGGTAAATCCTTGAAAACGCGAGAAAAAAACACAAAATTTTTGGATGAGATGGAAATGAAAAGTATCTTCAGGTAGTCGTGCTTGGTGTCATGAATCTCCCTCTCGCAGGAAACTGCGTGTGTAAGTCGAAACTTGTCAAAAAAAGTTTTTGCAATGTCTGCGCACAAAAAAGTGTAGCCATATTTTGCGCATCACTTCATTCAGTTAAGATAAGTCTTGAATAGTCTGAACTGCATGGTTGACTTTCACACAACGAACGATATTGAGTGCTACATTTTGTTGTGATATTGTAACCGACCTTGTGGCCGTCGTGCTTCAGGTTTTCCCGCTGGGTAATTGAATGCTCGTAGCGCGGGAAATCGTAGACACAGGCAACAAAAAAAATCGAGATTAAGTGGGGCACATGAATGAATGGCCCTCGATTGATATCTACCTTGTTACTTACGACAACCCTGCATGAAGATTGCTAGAGAAATTATAGTAGGGAGGGGCAGAGGTGAATACGACGTCAAAAATGAGTTGGCCCAGACGGAACTTTCAGTGGCCGGAGGTCGCCCTCTGAGGATCAATCCGCGCTTTTGTCAAGCATCAGAGCGATCTGGCTCGCTAGCCGTGTCGTACCGAGGCTCCGAAGTTTCGACGGAACCCGTTTTTACGCAGGGAATTACTGTGCTGTCAACGATTTGTGCCGCACTAGCGCTGTTAGCACTACACCTAGTGGACCAGCAGCACCTGGACCACCAGTGAGTAGGGCTCATTTACTTGTCGTCTACGATAACGTAGGAAGCGGCGATCATGACGGGTAGTGACTTCGTGGACTCTGATCCGGCGACGGCAGAACATCTGTCTTTGAACTACGGACCAAACCAGCTCGAGCACTTTTATCAGCGGCTAGATAAGCTTGGCGAGGGAACTTTCGGAACCGTGTATAAAGCGCAAGATCTGCAGACCAAGGAATACGTGGCGCTCAAACGTACAACCATAAATATGGGTGATGTAGTGTGTGTATGAATGAACGTAGCATCAAGCACTAGAGAGAGTTCTCGGGCAAGTCATAGCACGTGTTGAGGTTGTGAAAGGATCCATGATGTTCTAATCCGTTCGGAAACCACTGTGACCTGGTAGCTCCTTATCACCTCATTTTTTTTTTACCTGGCTGGCAGTGAGACGCGACCCCCGTTATGTGCCTCGCGCTGCACTTGAGTGCGGGGTCCGTTAAGTGCCTCGCACGGCATTAGGAGCAGAGTCCAACAACTGCCTTGCGCGGCACTTAAGAACAGCCTCCGTTCGATGCTTCGCTTAAGAGGTGACTGTCACTACTTAAGCGAACTCTCGCTTAAGCGGGGACCGCGTCATCACCACTTAAGCAACCTCTCGCTTATAAGCGGTGACAGTGTCGGTCGCTTAAGCGGTGACAGTGTCGGTCGCTTAAGTGGTGACAGTCACTACTTACGCAGCGAGTGGCAGTCACCACTTCAGCGACTTTTCAACCAAAAGAAAGCGGTGATATCGGCACTCAGCTGATTGGGTATCCACTTGATTGGTGACGACAGGCTACATGAAATGAATTAAAGCAGGTATTGCGTTCAACGCCGAAGACGAAGAAGGCATTCCTTCGACCGCGCTGCGGGAGATCTGCTACTTGAATGAGGTTTCGCATGAAAACATCATAAAACTGAAGGATGTGCACAGCTACGTGGGTAACAAAGGCGGTTATTTACATTTATGAATTTCGATTTTTTGAAGATTATTTGTGTACATGCATTCGCTGCATGGCGTTCCTCCGAAATTTATTGGAAACACGATTTGTAATTGTACTTACATCTTTATTGAAAATGAACAAAACTTTTTTATCCTTACGTCGTCTGTGTTTAGAGTTAGATCTTTGTCGTAGCCGATAGGACAACACCAGCGTCCGTTACTCAAACCAAGACGAAGCTACAAGGCGACCAAAAAAAGGTCCAAATAAAGTAGTCACTGTCGTGTCCTCCAGGCCCCCATGTTGTTTAACGGTTAGTTAAAGACTGTAGTCCCCCTTATAGACTGCAGACGCAAAGTAGTTGGTTCTAATGCACCTCGTTTTCGAATTTATGGATGCAGATTTACGCCAGTTCATGAAGCAGCAGGCGGCGAAAATGTGCAACGCCGCGTTGAAAAACGTCGGGAAAATGATGCTGAACGGCCTGGCGCATTTGCACAAACACCGCATCATCCACAGAGACATCAAGCCACAAAACGTGCTCATATCTTGGGACATGCAGACGCTGAAAATCGCAGATTTCGGATTGGCTAGAGCCTTTTCGGTCTTTCAATTTTTTCAGTCCTTGTCACTGTAGCGGACGACTAGGAAATCTTTTTAACTAATCCACATTATTATACTCCTACATTATCATACATACGATAGAAATCCCCGCATAGAATTAAACAAAAGACAGGCGCCAGTTCGGAATTACACGCATGAGGTTGTGACCCTGTGGTATCGAGCCCCTGAAATCTTGCTTGGAGAAAAGAAATACACAGTGTCGATAGATCTGTGGAGTTTCGGCTGTGTGTTTGGTGAGCTCGCGAATGACGGCGCGCCTGTTTTTGTCGGGGATTCAGAAATAGGGACCATCTTTCAAATCTTCAAGACAATAGGTGCTACATCTTTGATGTTGTTTTGAGCGAGGAAGACGTTCCTAAATTTTTGACCACCACTCTTGTGAAATGAATTGTGATGCAATTTTTTGACGAGTGCTGTGATTATATAGTTAAAGAAGCTAGCAGGCTTCATGCTTATGCTAGAAAAAAATCTCTACCTTTTCGAGAACACCAAGATGCACCATCAACGCGTCTTTCTGGTGTCTATTAACCTGTCTTCTATAAAAAGTTAAGTCCTTAGTTGTCAAAAAATGGTAATAAAAAACTGCGCAGGTAGCCCGACAGCATACGACTGGGCAGGAGTCCGCGAGCTACCTTATTTTTCACAAGAGTATCCGAAGTTTCGGGCAAAACCGGTCGAGGAATGGTTATGCGCGCGTCCGTCACCGCCATGCGACGTTTCGGATCTACCTTACCTATACAACATGCTGCAGTTGATATTTATGACTTAAGAGTTTGTAAATCTAAATAGTACCCCTACTAGTTAGTACCGCTTCATCTGAATTATGAACAATCGTGCAGTGATCTCTTCACATTGCTGACGTGTACCCCGTAGAAGCTTCAAAATTCAGAATTATGATTAAGTGCACATTATTGCTTTCATTTTCTTCCAGTACAACCCGCACAAGAGGCCTGCGCTGGAGGACTTGCAGCATCACCCGTACTTCGTCGGACCGCATCATGGCAGCTCATCCTTACAAGCCAGTTGTGCGGGAGAGCGCGGGGGCGGTGCCACGGTTCCAGTCACTGGCACAGCAAGTATAGTTAAGCACCCGGCTGATACTTGATACTATTCTTGGAGGTATCTCTACACTGAATGGCCTCATATATAGATGCGAAACGCTATAAAAGAGGCGCCATGACATGACATTGATCATTGGATACTACAACTAGTTGGGTGGGCGACCACATGGCTCTGTGTGAGACTTGCAATGGTTACAAGTAGGAATCGCTCAGACGTGAAGGGAAAATCAGTCAAGGACCTATAATTGTGCGCGGCCACTTCGAAGGGGTCCCATTATTTTCTAACACGAGCGCTGACCAGGCGATGGGTATGAGCATGACTGGGCATCACGCAGGATCTCAGCATTACGGCGATAGCACAGCAGGCGGCGGACAGCCGATGATGGGCCAGCCTTTCGGAGGCAATAGTCATGGTGCTTGAGCCGCTGATTCCGATAGGGTGCGCCTCATAGTGGTCGAATATTCAAGGCTTGAAGTAATTCATCTTTAGAAGCATCTTTGTCACCTTTTTTAACAGAAACTACGTCAAAGATGCTTTCCAAAATGAATATATGTAAGCTCTAAAATATGGACATCGTAGTCGGTCCGACTAGAATGACCTACTACATTGGTCAATTGATGAATCTTGGTCAAATCCCAACAATTTTTAACAACGGATGAGTCCTGTGTAGTTTATTTGGAAAACCTTGTTGTGTGAAGATTTTTTCTTACTGTTCATCTTGAGTTTCGACTTTTTTTTGTGATTTTTTGTATGTTTCGACCTCATTTGAGAACTCAAAAAGCTGTGCAAACTCTGGAGTATGCAAGCGAACCGCAATCGAGACTGTTGCATTACGATACTTCTCGCTGTCTGCTTGAAGAACGACGATGCTTCCATTGGTGTTTTCAAGAGATATCGAAAATTATCGACCTTCTAAACAAGACTCGTTGACATAGTAGACATTACACCCTGTCGACGAAATGTTAGATTTTCTGCTGCACTATTGACTTTTATAGAGCTTTTGTTGAGATGGAAAACTAAAACTATTAACTAGAGGACGTCACTCATTAATTCCAAATATCTATGATCGAGAAGTTGTACAACGTAATATTAGTCTTTTTTCTGAACAGTGGAGTGCCCAAAAGTTGGGTTTACTGAATAGTATCGAGTACATATTCAGCATAGAAATTTTCCCGTCATTCATGATTTGCATGCAATATTTTACTGAATACTAGTAAAGCACTACTTCAAGAACTTATGCATTGATGTAGGTTTTGTTGAATAGAGGGAGTGTGAGTGCTTTGAAATTAATATTTTTGGATTAGAAACAAACGACAAGATGACTAATAAACAATCGTTTCGTTTGTTGCATGATTTTTTACGTAGAGTAAGTTCGGGGGTATCTTTTTTTGTAACTAGGTATAAAACTGTTGACCTATGATTTTGAGATGTACAAGAACAGCAGTCGAACTGAATTTTCGGTTTTAGACACTCGTAGACTTTGAGTCATCACGGATGGGTAAGCACTCTGCGTCTGCACTCTGCACCATCACTGCAGCAGTTCGTCTAAGGATCAGCACTTTTTTTAACAGGCACGTAGACGAATTGTGTTTCACTTGCCACGTATGACCTTAGTACATGAACATCGATCTGTAAATGCTCTGAACACGTTTCGAAGCATCCCACTTTCCTACTTGAAGTCGAAATGAATCTTACCTTCCGCCAGCGTTCGTCCATTTGTTATATTAGATGGATGATCCCAAGCCCAACTGCTATATTAGATGGAACCCAACCGAAACCTAAGCATAAATCTCAACATGTAGGAGCGCATTCTGGGCCACGGCAGTTTGAGAGAAGCAAAAGTATGAGATCAGATCCACTGATGCAGTTGTGAGAATAGGGCCATTCTTGTACAGTAAAACCTTGAGTTTTAGTTCTCGTATCTGGATCACGCAGATCATTCAGAAAGTTGAGCCACCAGCACATTACTTAGAGCGATCCTGACACACCGCGATCTACTCAGCAAAAAGCTCTTGAATCGCTTGATTTTGAAGGCCCAGTCACTTATACCTTCTGATGTTGGAGGTTTTGGATCAGTATCACACGATTCATCTTTTGGTAGAAGTTTGACTGGTCTGACCCTTGCGTTTGATCACACTGTTCTTTTGTAAGTTCGAGACTGGTCTGACGTTTTTTGACCTTGGACAACATTTTTTTCGTTCACCAGGCAGAATAATCATTCTCGTTTCGTGTTTCGAATGTGGTTTTGTGCGGACGTCTAGATTAGAAGTACTCCGATTGGGATTCTTTGTTGAGCTTCCAGATCCTACCTTGTTCGATGTGGATATGATGCGTTATATTTTTAGATGAATATATTGTTGACAAGACCTGATTTACATTGTTAGAAAGAATGGTTGTTCGCCGAGGCGCACCTGTGAGGGCGTCAGGAGACCAGAAGCTGGCCAACAAACAGGGGGCCGACTTCTTGCTTCTCATTGCGGGACTTTATGCGGGCTCCGAACCTGGTTTGTCGCGGCACGCCGTGCGCCAAGCGCGCATAATAGCCGAAGGAAATGCGGTAGCAAGTACGGGTGCTAGGGGTAGCAATTCTTTAACAGCTCCTGGCACGACTGTCAAAGTAGGATCTGGTCTGCCCCACTCCAGCAAAAGTGGAGGGAAGAGAAGTGTGGTTGCAGGGAACGCTGCGTTTTGCGGCTGCTGTGGACAAGTCCGGGAACGGACTTCTTACAACCGAGGGTCGGAATCAACACAGATGAATCAAGGAACGCAGTGCCGTCTTTGTGGTTTAGCTTTTACTCGGCGACGAAATAGACCGTCGGATGACAGAGCTGTTAAGATGAAAACTGCGACTCATACTGGCGCGACCGCCGCATTAGAGAAAGCAGCACTACCAGGAACAGCAGCAGCGACGTCCGCGGAAAAAGCTTCTAGCGTTTCACAGAGCTACGGGAACCGATCGCGGAATTCATTGGATGATCGGGCCAACAAAAACGCAATTCGCCCTCTCTCTCGCAATGGTCTAGCCAATGACCACGCACAGCGAAACAGAGAAGTACTTCCAGGCAAGAACCGAATGGAATCTTCTATAACGACAAATAAGATGGATCACATGACGCAATCCTTAGGCAGTCTTCGAAACCTACTGGGGGGACAGCCGATGACACCTGCCGCAAGCGTTGCTCCTCCGAAAGCCGTTCAACAAAGCTCAGGGGCTCAAAGCTCCACGGCCGCTTCTCGAAAGAGACAGCGACAAGCGACATTTGATAAAAGAAGTAAAGGGAAAGCGGCTTCCCAGCAATCTGGCATGAGCGGCTTCGGGGTCTTGTGAGAAGCGTGCGCGTACTTGTGCTGGCTAGTAAAAACGACCTCCAGGTAAAGATATCAAATACAAAGCAACGATGAAAGCAAAAAAGCCCTTCGTGTTGCGAAGCGCTCCCCACGGAATCGGGAAAACGCAGCGAAAGCATCAATCCGCCGACTGAGGCGTTGAATACGGCGAGTGCGGTGAGACCGCTGGGCTCTTGCCCATCTTCCACGGGAGCCGCGCATGTTGATGTTTCCCGGGTATGCCTAAGAAGGGGATTGCGCACTACGACGCAGGCCTGAAAGTCGAGGCTTCAGAGAACCACAGCCTTGCGAAATAAATAGCAGGTTGAAACTTGCCGGAAAATGATTTGTGAGCACAGGCGCGGAGAAAAAGCGCGCTGGGAGACGATTGCGTGCTTCACCGCACTTCGTTTATTTGGGTGGTGGAGCATATCTTGTGTCACAAATGGGACCTGTTTCTCAATAATTTAGATTTATCACCCGCCCTTCACCCACCTTTATTTGAATTTGGTTATGAAGCTCAACGAACAAGATACACGTAGTTCTTTCTGATGCTCATAGATCGTGTTCTCCTCTTCACGCGTTAAAGAGAGGCGGCGGGACTGCGTCGCAACATTCAGAAGCTGTCAGCTAGAGTTTTTTTCATTATTTTTGCCTCTACATATGAAAAGATATACAAGTGATGCCCAATGAGGGAAAAAATATTTTCGGTTGGCAGTCAAAATTGAGAAATAGGCCCATTTTGCTTAACGTACGGGTCAAAACGAAGCGTTTCAATCGTGAAAAGTTTTTGAAAAAGATTCAGATTGCTTAAAAAACATTGCTTGAAATTGATTCATTCAGTCAAAAACTAAGTTATCGTGGATTTGAGAGATCAATACTAGCCTGTTTACGGCGTGTCGCACATACGATTGAATGGGTGAGCAGCCTGCGCCATTGTTAGAGAGAGCGATGTTCGAAGAACAGTTTGTGTAATAATTCTTCATGACAAGAAAATTACTCGATTATTTTCGATGACCTCTAAACCTGTTCCCATATCACATGTACGAGTTCTAGATAAGAAGAACATGGCAAATGGGTTGCCGATTCGACGCGCTGACTTTGTGCTCGAGAATGGTGGCCCCTTTCGCTTGTCGTACACACTCTTGGAGCGAAGCGACGCGCCGCCCTCTGCGGAGAGGCGAAGGCGCAAGGTCATTTTTCTGCATGGTTGGCTACAACACGAAGATTGCTGGTTGGGCACAGCGAAGAACGTGTGCTACTTCTACATATGGCATGGTTGATTATGAAAAAAAAGTAACCACCAAAGTATAAGTCCAACGAAAAATGTAATTATGTCAAAGTCTCTATTTTCTACACCCTGCATTACTTAAGGCGTAACAAGGATGATTCTCTAAGAAGCTTATCGCTATCTCTTGAGTGCACTCGTGCACTCTGTTCGTACTACAGCGACTCAATTCTAGAAAACTATACCAGACGGACCCAGGAGCAGGATGAAAGTGATAGATGTTCAAGGAGAGTAACCTCTAGAATGTGTTGTATTTTTCATATCACGGCTACGACTGTCTCTTGATCGAGTTTCCGTGGCATGGCCGAAGTACGCTTGCGCGGGGCACCAGCTCCTCGTTGCTGCCACGAGTTCAAGATTGGCATTCAGAGGTGCTTCGTCCGATTTTGGAGAGACTTCACTGGACAGACGACGAAGATGCTTCAAATATAGAAGGAGATGCTTCAAATATAGAAGGAGATGCTTCAAATGAAGCAGGTGCAAACGGTGCAACGCCGCCCGATAATATAATTGGAGGAGCAGGTACAACGTCGTCCCAGAGCAAACCGCATCTAACATTTGCAGGCTGTAGTATGGGCGCGAAGACTTCGATGAGTTACAACATCGCTTATCCAGGTTGTCCTGAAAACAAGAGGCGTTTTATCATATTAGGGACACCTGGACAGGCCGAATCAAAATGGCCGCTTGAAGTGGGCCGTTGTTACGGGAGATTAGCAGAGCGCTTGTGCTTCGCCATTGCGCCGACGCGAGAGCTGACAACGGTTGTATCAGGCAGTTTCCTACCGGGATCTGAGTCTTCTTTTATGACATAATTTGATAAATTTCAAATCTGTTGTTATAAAAGAATACTCAGATCATGGCAAAAAGTTGCGATAGTGAAACTATGCTGATTGAACCAAGACTATCTACTACTTCCTTTTGAATACTTGCAGGTAGCGTACTCGATGCATTGTTGTCAAAGTTCGATACACCTCGTCCGTCCAAGTAGAGTAATGATCCGCCTCTAGATATGTCCTCTCCTTTTTGCGTTCAGTTTTTCAACGAATCCGCTGTCAAGATGGCGCAGCGCGGCCGCACAGAAAATGGCGTTGTTATCGATTTCCAAGGATACACCGCAATACGGTTTGGACCCGGTCACCGCAGCTCGGTGTCTTCGGACTGCAGAGCATACTGCTCTAGTTCACGGTCGTTCGGATCTCTACCACGCTCCGCACTTCGAAAAATGGGCGGACGGTCGCGATTACATCTTTTACCGCCGCGTGGGCATGTGGGGTGAGGAGGATGTGACATCTCCGGTCGACGACTCGGGGTTCCCGGAGGTGGCATTAGATACAGGCTGCAAGGACGATCCTCGTGGAGACACCAAGGAGGCTTCGCGACCTGTTTCAGTACTAGAATATTCTTGGCGGACACATGAGACGACCTGTTCTTTCATCGACTCAATGAAACTACATCGTTTTTGGTGGTTTTGGGGACGCGAGCCTCCGGACCGGGCTGGTATTCTAGACTGGAAGCTTGGTCCAGCGAACAGAGGGAGCGCGGGGGCGAAGTTGTAGTTGAGTCTTGGCACAGGAAGAGATCACTGCTAGCGGCCAGCGGATTCGGAAGGAACGAAACATCGAAATGAACATATGATTTACTGTCCGATATTTTTTTAAAGGGGGTATCATTCAGGGTTTACATAGAATCGTGCAGTAAAAGTGGGAGATAAAATCTAGATAGGTCGCACAACTAGATAGTCATTGCGCACATAGATAATGAGGTATTGGCGCACAGAGTGGTGCTGGTCAGAACTATAGCAAGGGTCCTTCAGGGAAAACGTCATACTTGTGAAAGAAAATAAGTCACAGAGACTCCTTGAAATATGTAACTTTGTTTTCACTTTTGCGTATGACTTTTTTTAGAATTTCGATCTCTGATATGTCAGGAAGTACGCATTATGCGCTTCTTCCGGATTGCTGCGGCGAATCGAGGAAAGCCTGGATATGATCGATTACCGTGTTCGCTTATCGGATGGTGAGTACCGATTGTATGATTTTGGTGATCCGATTGTCTTCAAATAGACACGGAAGACGTAAAGTTTCACAATTGAGTGCTGTGTGTACTGATCAGTAAGTTTCTGATTTTTCGGGTGCTTGTCTGAGTGTGTGTAGTGGTCGTGCCTGAAGCATTGTGGTCCTTTTTTGTTGACGAGTGACAAGAGCAGCTTCAGCATTACAACCTCGACTATCAAACCTTTTGTTACTCCTGAGTGCATAACGTGGAGTAGCATCATTGTTTACACCGACTAACAAAGGATGAAGGCAACGCACCTGCTATTTGCTCTGGGTCTGGCTCGACGATCGTTCGGGTCAAGTTTAGACCTTGACACGCTAATGGCGAGTATCAACAGTTTCAAGGATTTATGATGTGATCATTACTGAGTAGTCTGAAGCCAGTGATCAAAAGTTGATCTAATCTTTCGATTGACATCAGTCCACCACTGAGTGCACTTTCATCAGTCATTCGTCCTTGATCGACAACATATAGCATAGTGATATTCCCCCGATATTCGCCCCTTCATATCACGGAAAAGAGGACACGTGTGAAGCTTGTGTGGCTGCTGGCAAGGAGTGGTGCGTCACATGGGACTCGTGCGATGTAGACGAGTGCGAAGACGATGATGTGATTCTTTCAAATTGCACACAGCTCACTAACCTAGAAGCCAAACGACCCGACCTGGCGCCAGGTGCATTTTTTTAATTGAAGATATGTGAATGACAGGAGTAGCTTTATGTTTTAGATTACTGTCAAGACAAAAATCCATTTGCATTTCCTCATTTGCTTATGTTGATGCATAGTCTGTTCTGATGCGGAATCACGGCGAACTTGTATTTTAGAACTTGCTTTGTTTCTTACGTTCTTTGTTCTGGAGTGTTCTCTGAGAATCTGATTTTCTAGAGTCTGCCAATCTCACCTACGCACAACGAGGTGTCCTGGTCGAGGTTCTGCTGCCAGAAGCACGGCAACAGCTCTTTGTGGAGGGGCATAACGACACGTTTTGGAACCAAGTTCGTGCTACAGACGAGTTTGAGAGGTTCGGTTTGGCTAGGCCGGGCAACAAGAGCACGGTAGGACGAATCGATCAAGACGGAGCGTCAACGATAACTGTACACAGCGATGTCAGACTAGCTGAGACCAGCAGCAGCCTCCCGTTGTTATGGCAGACACAATCAATTGGGATGGTACTAGAATCCGGTCCACTCGTTTGTTTGGTACTACAGTGCGTGAGGTGCACCAAAATATCAAGCACCGGCAAAGAGAAACGACTTTTCAGAAGCCATAACTTTGACTGCTGTTGCTTGACGTTGTGAAATTATTAGTGGGTTAACGGAATATTTGTCCAGGATCATCCTTTTTCGCTGACATATCTTCCAATGGTGATCGGGGTCATTGGTCGCGCATATCATTCTCTGGATGAGTACACCGTCAAGGACGACGCAGGTTTTGAGCTGAAGCATCGTATTCGCGCTGGGCCGGAACCTAGTCAGGAGAGCTACGGTGCAGGTGCCGAAGCGTTCTTTTATGGCCAGTGAGAACAATTTTCCCTAGACGATCATTCAAGAGGAGGGGACTACAATTAGTGTAGTTGTGATTGAACGACGTGCTTTTTGATATGATGGAGAGTAGTTGTAAATTTTCGTGTAAGCTTGCGCTAATTTTTCGCTGGCACAAGTGTGCAGGAAAAAGAGCCGGTGTATTTCCGGAAGCGACAGCTACGTGCGCTCTTACTGGCACGTAAAGGGGATCGCGTTCGAAGTCGTTTCTATACACGAAAAGGAGTGATGTCACGCACTGCGGAGGACGCACTAGTCCTGAATAGCACGTCCACCGCCTCCTTTCTGCTACGCTTTGAAGGAGATGGCACCGAGATGACGGTTCCGCGGACCTTTGTAGTTGAGGGGACCGACAAAACCAAAGGGGAAAATTGGCAGTCCATTGCGTCTCAGAATTCTGGAGAGAGCACGTCTTCATCACCAGGGGAAAATATGACGACAATAGCAGTAGAAATAAGTGCAGAGCACAATATTGCAGGATCTGCTTCTGCAGGAGAGTCAGGAGATCTATTCCCGTCTGCGTGCTCGAGCGAGCAGCATTGCAATGCATTCGGTTCTCCAGGGAATTATGCGAAACTGCCTATAGAAAGCAAGCGGGAGTGGCTCTAAGAGTTTTGAAGTTTTAGTCAAATCTAAAGATGACGTGAAAATCTTCAAATCTTCGGATCTCGGGAGCTCATGATTGAGATATAAATGAACCTACCGCTCCCAACGCAGGCAAGTCGGAACGGAGTCGCTTTAAAACTGTACCACATTAAAGATGTGAGATGAGGAAATCGAATGCAGAATCAAGAATGTCTGGCCTATTGCACATGCGACCGGACACGCAGCAGTTGATGGGACAACAAATTGTGTTTTCGCAGAAATCGGTACTCTTCAACGAGGAAGAATTATGAAGACAGTTATACTGGAGCCCTCGGTATGTTGAGGGTGCAGTGTCGGTGGCTATCCATTATGATTCGGATCTTGAGTTCTTAAATTGGTATCTCTTGATGCTCTCGAAGATCTCCATGCAAGTTCAGAGATTTCTAGAGAAATATCATGATCAGAGGAACACTTCTGATATGAGCATTGCTCGTGATAGACATCGGTTTTATGAAAATACCAAGGATATTGTTGTATCTGTGCTGTGCAAGTCTAACAATTCGGTACTGTCATGCTTGGAGAGATAAACAATAAGATCGGTTTCGGAGGCTGGCACAGGCAAAGATCTTTTCCGTCATTTTAGAAGGTGGCATCCCCACTACTGAGAGTTAACACTTCAAGAAACATAGCCATTGCTCACTGTGTGTAGGTATAGTGCAGATGTTGTAGATCATGCTCTTATTCAGTTTTGATTCGATCTAAGTTGATCATCCTTCACTTGCAATAGTTTACAAATTGCAGGAGTTCCATTCCTTCACTAAGCGAGTATTTAGTTGCACATTCAACGACGCGTGTATCGATATGCTACAAATTTTGATCTGACTATACCTAGGCGAGAGAGGCCGATAGTAGACATCGGCTCTATGCGTCTCCGTTAGGAGATACCAGTAAAAATGCGACGAATGAGTGTGACGTCGGAGGGCTTCTTCGGGGGAAAACCTCCGAAAGCCTCTTACAGCCAAACGAGACAGCAATCTACGGTAAGCCTCCCGAAGTTGCCAGTAGAATCGAAGACACGCGGCGGTCAAGGAAATGTTAAGGCAACTCACTAGTCGATTGTCTATCACCAGCGTTCTAGACTTTAGGTGGTAGAAGTTTTCTTCATGCTTCTAGAAAACTATCTTTACACCTGACACTGTTGATGACAAGTGTTTACCTCTAATGCGAGGCGCGGTTGGCGGAACAGTAGTGGTTTGCCGCTGCCCAAGCAGACGCGCAATCTGATGGGTCGTGAGATGGACTTCTTAGGTGGAAACAACGAGGACAGTGAAGGTAGTCACTTGGAGACACTGTACAACCAGCAGCAACAAGCGCGCGAACGCATGAGCCAGCTGCAGCCACCCTTCGAAACGGATCAGGCCACGGCTGAGGCGGAGCAGGGTAGTGCTAATTCTGCCCCACCTCTAGTTGGATCTACTGTTGGCGTGTCCGGACCGAATGTTTCGCAGAGTGCTGGGGGAAACATCCCCAACAACTCCAATAGCGCAACGGGAAACAGTGTCTCGTCGACCGGAGCGCAACAGGCGGGACCTCAGGCGGGGTGGAACAACACGGCTCTGCAACTGCCGCCAGCAGGGCAATTGAGCAGCAAGCCAGCGGCGCGTGACAAAGGCCTAGCAACGACATTCACAGCCGGCTTTGGGCTGTCGCATCGCCACGAAAGCATGTCAGTAGAGGACGTCCACGAACAATCCTTCGACCAAGAAGGAGACGTGACTGCTCTACGCAATGATAATCAGCGACTAAAACAAGAGCTAGAACAACTGCAAATCGGATTACTCCAGTCTCTGAAGCGACAAGACCGGTTCATATCTGGTGGGCAATTCAAAGGACCTCTGCAGAAAAATCGAGATGGTAGTGATTTTTTTAGTTTTGTTTGAAGATAATCTATGAGTTAGGTCTTCAACATTGACAAGGATTGTTCTTTTGGTTGTGTCAGATTCCACAACGACCTCAATATGCAGTCGCAGAAGTACCAAAGAGGACTCTATTCAGTTCGACCAGCAGTCTACGTGAAATTAGTGCTCACTAAATTCTTTTTCAAGGAATAAAAAGTTCACAAAATTTTTTTTCTCAGATAAAAACAAGCTTTCGAGCACTCACCAAGGGTCTTTCCTTGGGGACAAGGAGGCGCCACAGCAATCGAGACCTGTTCGATCCTCAAATTTTCATGTTGCAGAGCTGAAAAGGTACTATTTTTCAAGTGGTCTATTCATATTTGGGCAAGGTAGGTGTCTATTACACGTAATTATTCAGTGGAGGCCTCCACGGCCCGGATTTATTCCATGCACAGTCTCTCTGTAAAAACAGGTATAAAGCGAAGACGCAGGAGCTGACTCGCGAATTAGGCGAAGTGCGAAAAGAACAACTGGAACTAGGCGACGCGAAAGGACGAGTGCGTGCATTGGAGGAGGAGGGTCGCATTTTGAAGGACCAGATCCGACAATTGAAGGAAGATCAGGCTCTAGCCTTGGAGGGCATACTCAACGAGCACGAACATGAAATGAACCGCCTGAGAGAACAGGTACGGGAAGACAAGGAGCTGGGTCCGGTGTATCAAGAAATGGCACAAGTAGTGGCAGCGCGTGACGGCCTCGCCTCCGAGCTCGAAACAAGTCGTCGCGAAGCGGCTTCCTTGCGGGACACGTTCAATTATGACATTTGACACGTCGATAAAAAAAGTAGTATCTATCAGCAACCAGAATGGTGAACTGGTACAACATTGGTGCTATCAGAAGAATGATCGGTCCATAACTTGTTGTAATCAGGCTTTTGCTAGTAGATGGTGTAATATGTATGCACTCACCACGACACCCTCGTCTTCTAATTTAGAGTAGCAGAGCAGAAAGCCGTCAGCCGAGTTCACGACTTGGAGAGTGCACTCAACCAAGCTCAAAACGAGAAGGCAGAATTGGAGCATTCGCTCGACAGATGGAAGAAAAAGCTGTCAGAGGCAACGCGCCGACTTCGGGACCTCGAACAATTATGACTTGGCTGGATCTGATCCTCATTCTCATCGCAAAAAATGCGTCCGTTTTGCGCATGGTAGATCATTACTTAGCATTGTTGTGATTGGAACTGCGTCGACGAGGAATCTGTATGTTTCATCCCTGAGCATTGGATCGTCTAATGCAAGAAAGCGAGCGTGAGTTGGAGCACCGCGATAAGCAGCACGCTAAGGGACTTTCGCAAGTCCAGGCGGACCACGATATTGCGACGCGGACACTCCAAGCTGAGATCGCGGAATTGAAAGAACTAATAGCAAAGTTGAAGGAGCAACTAAATCGCGCTCAGCAGGACGAAAAGCATCACGCGGAAGCGGTGGGGCAGGCAAAAGAGGAGTGGGAAACAGAGAGGATAGGTACTTCTTTACAAGGTTTAGAATGACGTGATGACTTTCAGAGCCTCATAGTCTCGTGGAACTATGATTGATACCTATTTAGTTTGTAGAAGTAAGTAGTCGTTGTAGAAGAATGAAAACCACTTCCACAATTGTTCATGCTCCACAAAACGATCTTGACGGGCGACATTTTTTTCCAAAGAATAACAACAGCCCTAGAGCAGCAATGGAAATTGGATCTGCAGACGGCAGAGTCAAAACATCTAGAGGAGATTGGCGCAAAAGAAAAGGAATTCACCAAAACTCTTGAAGAGAAGGAAATTGCTGCGCAGGACACGGAAAAAGCACTGCAGCAGCGAGTTAAGACACTGCAAACGGAAAACCAAGAGCGGGTCAAGAAACTATTTGGTAAATCGGAATACGTTGTTCATGGAATTCTTGTTCACACTCTGTCAGCACTCGTAATATTTCTAGCTAGTAGTGCTTCCTTCCATCGAGACACCATTCGCAGACTGCTCCAATCCCTCCAAAATATTATCAGATATGGCGCTTTCGCACTTTCTGCAGTCGGCACAGCAAAAGAACAAAGGCGTGGAAGCGAAAGTGGTATTTGCAGTGTGGCGATCGGTAACTCGCGAGAGTGCTGCAAGCAAAAGGGAGTCCGAACGCGAACGGCAAGGCAAAGACCAGCTCGAAGCTGTCCGAAAACAGGCTGAGAGAGAACAACAACAACTACGACTCGCAGTAGAAGAGGAGAAAAAGCACCGAGATAAGATTGACAAAATGAAGGACGAAGAGGTAAGATTTTATGATGCTGTTTTTTTGTTGGCGTAGCAGACTTTGCATAAGTAGTTGCAGCAGTAAGTCATAAGAAGCATCGAGGTCTTAGCTTCCTTTCTTTGAAACAGGCACCTCGACGTGAGTCAACATCACTTTGTGGTTGTTCCTAATGTCACCAGCATTGAAGAACGCACAATCCTCAATATCCTATGCCCCCAGCGCAAAAAGCAACTAGCAGAAAAGCTCTCGGAGACGGCCAGGAACGAGCGAAGCAAGGTAGCGAAAGAGCATGAATCACATGCGAAGGAGCAAGAGCGAGTCCAAGCCAGTTTGAAAGAGCGCAATGGGGAACTCGAGAATATCATCAGAGACATGCAAACACGTATGGAATTGATGGAAAAGAACGCTCTCCAAAGAAAGCTCCAGCAAAGCATGAAATTGCAGGTAAGAAGATTCTAGAGATGATCTTGTTTCCGGCTGCTTTGGCGAATGTCGTGAAAGTCAACGGTATAGATACTTGTCGGAATGACAGTCACTGGATATAATTTTTTGTGATAGGAATCCAGCTTCACGAGGGAGCTGAAAAAATTTCCCATTCACAGGTATTAGCTCCGCGAGTGTCTGTGACTATCAACGGAGACACAGTGAACATGTTAGACGTAGAGGCGGCGCCAAGCAGCGAAGAATTACGAGGCATCATGCATCGGGAAGTGCTTCCGCGGTTCGCCAAGATTCTGCTCTCAGAGGATTTTGATGAAGTTATGGTTATGGTTTTCACACGTAGCTGAATCAATTGACATTCGTGTAGTCATGGTCTTTATATTTGAACTTCATTGAAAAATAAATGATCGACTTATGGGCCACAACAGACTTCTAACACGAGCAACACGCAAGAGCGGGTGCAGGCAGTGATGTCGGACATGGTTCGTGTCATTGAGAACAAGCTGCAGGGCATCTTCGGCGCAAACTGTCTTCGTACAACCAGTTCGATGGGTTAAGCAGCTTGCCGACGGGAGGAAGCATCGGCGCTATCTCTTATGCATAGACGACACCCTAGTGCGTGTTTGTTTTGATTTTGGACTCTATATCTGACATATATAATATTTTGTGTAATAACAGCATCGGTAACGTATCGTAACTAACGTAATTTCGCATGTAAGACTCATAACACAAACATTCAGTAGAATTCATACATTGACGAATGATAAGTGAACTTGACTTGATAAGTGTAGTGAATCTATTCAGTGGAATAACTTGACCCTTGATCATACGCATCGTATGTAGTGGAAAACGAAAGATCGATACAAACTCACATTCATTGTGCAAGTAAAATGGGATCAGATTATGATGACGCCAGTTTTAGTTTCATGTATAGAATCTTTGGATTACAGCAATGAAGAAGGATCGATCAAGAATTTAGTCTAGATAAGCAGACAACAGTTCTTGTATACTTTTCTCAGCATTGGCTGTCGGACATATTTTGTACAATAAACAGACTATGATCAATATATCATCATCAAAAAAGCAATTCTAGGAGAATGTGAGAGTACGTGAGCTTCTTAGATAGAATTATTCAGCGCTTCAAACACGAGTTGTAACAAGAGAATCTGTGAATTCAAACGCATCGTTTTAAGAAGAGTTGACTTACAAGGAAGAGGGTCGTCAGAATCAGAAAGATGTGCGAAAAAAACCGAAGAAAGCTTTTGCTGTCCCAGATCGTGCATGTCCTATTGAATATCGCCACGTGTTCGTATGCCTGAGATGTACTCACCCAATTTGTTCTTGTAGTGGAGTTGATGTTTGAGAGACGACGAGAGAGACGAGGGGTCAGTTGGACTACAGTTCTAACATAGGACCAAGTCTGATTTTTTTGTCTGTCATGAAAATCGAAACTTGATGAGTGACGAGTGAACGAGAGTTCAGACATGAAATTTGTGCTATTTGCAGACCAACGAGGGATTATACCCGACGGACTATTCTACTCCTAGATGATTGATGTGGCTAGATTTGGAGCTACGAAGAAACCAATTTTCCTATTTTCGAATGAATGTATGTATGTATGTAGCACGTTGCAGTTCACCAACATTCCCGTTCAATAGAGCCCACATCATTTTTCGAATGAGTGTGTCACTTTCTCACAGGGGGACTTTTTACGATTTATAAGAGTAACGAGGTGGTGCTCAAGTAACTTTATAATTAAAGTAGGAGACGGTCAACTTTAATCGGCATAGAAGAACATACTTAACTACTTTTTTAGCTGCAACAACAACGTCAAGAAACAGTGTCGTCAATGATTTCATCATACAGCTCTTGGATAAGATGTAAGTTTTTTTTCAGAATATTTTTTTCGAAGGTTATTTTCTGGTTTTTACGACTACAAGGATATATTTTATGTCTGTGATAGGATTAATAAAATGGAGGATCAACGAGTGCTTATTTTGACGTCCGTGGATTACTTCGGTGCCGCTGCTTTGTCCGTGTTGCACCGACTGGGCTATGAGACTGTGCTCTGCGTCGTATGCGGTGGATCCCAGGGCCTTGACGTTATAGCGGAATGCCAGAAGCATGGGTACAGACACTTGATAGAAGCGGAGCTGCATCCTGCTTGATAGAGATTGATCTCTAGAATTGCCTGACTCCTATCCTATTCTACGACTTAATAGAAATTGAGCGTTTAGCGCTATTTCCAACCTTATCGACGTCAGATCATACGCGTTGCAGATGTTTTGGATCCACCCATTTTGAAAGTCCACTAAATTCTTACCTGTTCTCCAATTTATCTTGAAAACCAGGTATTCAAACTTTGTCTCGGACGATGCAGCATTGCTGGGGGGCGTGTGTCAGGCCTTTAGCCCGACACTGTCGATAGGTCTTGGCCCGGGGCTTCCGAGAACTTCGCTATGTCTGGATTTCGAAGCGATTCCTCCAAATGAGGGCTCTTCCTCCAATCTCGATCCCGCGTGTTCAGGGGAAGTGACGCCATCTTGGCCGGAGTTCTTCGCCATTTTTAGCGGCGCGGAGACTTCGCGTTTGCGACTGTGCCTTACTTCTGCATCATCTGAGGACATTACAACTCCTGAAGCTGAGGTAGCAGCAAGAGAAACGCTAGGATCGGTGGATGTCCCGGTGACACCGTTCGACACAGCAATAAGTCTACGGTACAAGCATGTGACAAGTTTTCCTGCTCTACTCGAATGCAGCTTAGAGGCGCTGAGAGCCGCCGGACTGGACGGCACTTCTCCGGAAGTTGAGGAGCCATCGCTCTTCGATTTCAATTCATCATCGTCTGCGCTTTTGGCTAGTAAAAGTGGAGGGTTAGGGGGAGAACAAGCTGGCTTCTTTGTGGATTCAGAGCGCATGTCCCTAGAGGAAGCGGACCGATTTATCCGGGGCTGCAGTTTCCCGCCATATGATCCGCCCTTAGTTAAAAGCGCCTTGGACGGGTGCGATTACTACGTGGATTCAGTGGAACACTATCTGCACTACTTGCGTTCCATCGGGCAACGCCCAGACGGCACCTCGATCACAGATCGGAGTGGAACGAGGCTCCTCGGCGACTGCGAGACAACGACGAAGCAGTATTCAGCAGACACCCACTGGTACTCCAACGTGGGAGGCACCATTGTTAAGGTGCAAGCGGAGACGATGCAGTTGCGCAAACGAAACGAGGTTGTAGAGCTTATACCAGGTAAGGACTTTTTGATGTAGTGTGCTTTAATATCTACAAGTGCAAACTATGGATGAGCTCCTGGATACGATGTAGAAGTGTTAGTGTTTGTCCTTTTCTACTTCGACTTTTCCCTACTGTGAATGTGTTTATTGCTGTAAAGCGGCTTTATCAGTTCGCTTGTGTCTCTCTCACCAGGTGCAGCGGTATCAGCCAAAGCTAAAAAGAGGTTGCGAATGAACGAGCCATTAATTGGACTAACCGCTTACGGCTACATTCAGAAAGCGCTATCAAGTGGCTGGATAGGGGTTGAGGGTCCCTACATCAAGAAATTTGAGGCCGCAATCACCAGAGTGTGTCAGGTACTTGTTGTGTTTTAGCAGTAGTTGGCATTAAATGCTAACAACTTTTCTGTGCCAACTTGCTGTATTCAGATGGATGCCGTGTAGTGTATTCTGTCCTATTGCTATTCTATTTTATCCTAGCGTAATTCACTCTCATCGTCGTGTCGTCGATTGATCTTTTCTGAAGCGTTGAAATCGTTATCGACTCGAAAATCCAGGTCGAAGCAGCATGCGCAGTCCAGAGCGGGACCGCTGCCTTGTATGGCGCGATGAAGGCTTTAGGGGTGAGTGAGCAGTCGCATCGCGTGATCGTTCCAACCTACACTTGTGCCGCTTGCGCCGACGCCATTGCACATGCAGGAGGCGTGCCTATTGCGGTGGACTGCGAGCTCGACAGTTACGGGCTCGATTTTGACGCGGTGCGGGAAGCTATTATGAGCGACGAGCAGATTGTAGGCGTAGTCATTGCTCCGAGTTACGGTACGCCCTCAAGGGACCACCTGAAAATCTACGATTTGTGCCGCGAACAGGGTTTGTGGTTGTGCGAGGACAATTGCGAATCCTACGGCGCTGTGATGCAGTTAGGGGACGGGGAGGAAATGAAGGACATGGCGGGGGAGATGACTCAGGCTGGCTCAACATCTACTCTGAGCAACTCAGGGAGAACGGCGAAGGTGGGATCCATGAGCACCATGAGTGTGATCTCCGTCCGAAGCGAGAAAATGGTGGGCGTAGGCGAGGGTGGCGCAATCCTCAGCAAGGATGCAGCTCTAGTTTCAAAAGCACGTTGGTGGTGCAGTCGCGCACCAGTGAGGGGATGCGGTATTGACTGCAAAATTTATCGATACGTCGTGTCGAAAAGTCCAAATAGTTTTACTTCGAAAAGAAGTAGTTGGAATGTAATCGACAAAAGTCTGATATATTGCTGACCGAAAATCTGCGCTTCAATAGAATTTGTTTCACTTATAATCTTTGACAGGTCTCTGGCGAGTCTACGAGCATGAGACAATCGGTCAGAATTATCGATTGCCGGAGCTGCTGGGCGCAGTAGGACTCTCGGCGTGCGAAAACTTGCCGGTGATGATTGAACGCAAGCGACGAATCCACCAGTGGTACAAGGAGCTGCTTGGGGACATTCCCTTTCTGCAGTTCCAGCACTCACGACCCTTGGACGAACCTGTGTGGTGGCTAAACGCACTATTAATCCGGACACCAGCAAACATCGAGTTGCCGGAGCAGTTCCGAGGTCTGGGCGAAGTGGGCTCAATTATTAACAGTGTGGCATCTTCATCAGGTTCAGGATTAGATGGAGTTGAAGCCAAAGCTTCTTCATCCAGGTCAGCATCTCTGCCAGCTCAAAATCTCGCTGAGACGGTGGGGATGGGAGTAATGCGGGAGCATCCCAATATCGAGATGAGGCCAGCGTTTTATCCTTTGCACAAAATGTCGTGCTTTGCGGATTGCGCTAGATACTGTCCCAACGCGGATTTCGTCTACGAGAGGCTCCTTTGCGTACCAAGTTCGGCGCAACTGACCAGGAGTGACGTGGAAGAGGTCTGTCAGGCGCTGCGGAACAGTCTCACGGAGGTAATGGGCGCTCCTGTCTGAGCCTGCAACTCGACGTACACCAGGGGAGTGCTTGCAATCAGCACTAGAAATATTTATATCTGATTTTTCATTGGTTTGATGTTGTTATGCATATCGAGTTCTTGTCGATGTTGACGTCTCTCTCGTTAAATTATGTGGTAACTGAAAGGATATAGATTATGTCAAGATGTCATTTTTTCCATACTTGAAACTCTATTTATCTACTATGATAATGATGGGACTGTCTATTTATCTACTATGTGATGAAGTAAAAGATTTGCTGCATGTAGAAGAAGTTGTTGTTAGATTATAGAAGTGGCAGACGTTTTTAGAGATTGTGCGCTAGAGGTGGATAGTTCAAGAATTGTCAAATCTATTGCGATGACTGTCAATTTTTCAACTTTTTGAAGTTTTGCGCTGGCTCAATGTCTGTTCTGCATGAGGATTGCGAGTTTGGTTCACTCGCTGCATGTTATCGTCGCGTCGACGCTAGCCGCCCTCTGCGGTGCAGGCAAAGCGTTGGAGAAGGCGAATCGCTCATTAAGTGCTTAAGATTAGAAAAACAAGATTTAAGATTATGGTTCTTGTTCGGTAGCAACAGTGTGGAAACAGTCTTTAGCTGTACATGCTTGTGTGGCGAGGTGGATGAACCAGTTTGATGAATTGTGATTAGGGTGGTTTGAACTGAATATTTTGATGTTGACAAATTTTATGTGGTTATACTTAAAATATGGAGATGAACGATCGGAAGATATCGACTGATTACTTTATTGCTCTCAATCAGATCCTTCGAAATTCATGAAGTTTATGTCGAGACTATCTGCGACTGTGACTGTCGTAGCATCGAGCTGAAAGTTTTTGTTTTACTTCTGAAGGGTCTTGGATCGAAAACTCAGTACATTGGTCGATGAACGGATGACAGAAAGTGAAGTTCTTGGTAAGACGAAGTTTGATATGACAAAGCAACGTGAGCAGGCAGAGGCAAAGTTGGAAGGCTCTACGTTGTTCTTGCAATTGAAAAAACTCAGAAATATATCAATCTGTTTCGTCTTGCCAGCAGTTTAGGATGACTGCTTGAGACGCATTGACGATGATGAGCGGTGTCTCTGAACGAAGAGAACGTTCCGCGTTGGAACTTTTGCTCATGTTGCGTGTGGTAGATAGCGTTAGAGAGATCTATCATTTGATACAGGAGATGATTTGATTTTCGAAAGAGAAAGAGGGAGAAAGAGAGACGAAGCTTTAGACCAGCATTGAATCTAGAAATTTCACGACTCGTGACTATGATGCATGGATTTTTTCTTCGAATTCGACATGCTGAGAGAGCGCGAGAGTACGATCAGAAGGTAAAAAAATATTGGTTGGTGCTATTGGATTGGTAGATCATTGAGCAGATCATGAGTGTGGAGTCTGGAGAGCAAGACCACCTTAGTCGTATTGTGTTTGTCCCCGTATGGTGCTGTATTGTCTTCGTGTGTTCGTTCTTCGAGTGAGCAAGTGATTCAAAACAGCCAAAAGTTCGTTTGTAATTCTACTCCCCCATCGTACCTTGTTCGTTTACTGTGTAGATTGATGCTCTTAGGAGGCATGGATGGTTTCCCAAAAAGGTGCAAAATTAGACTTCTTGTTGAATTTACTCAGTCCGAAACAGGACATGCAAATTCGAGGCAAACTCGATTAATTGAAGATAGTGACATCTATTCCCACCCTTGACCCTCATGAACAATCTCCCCCAATATTCGATACAAGAAGTTGTACCTACACAAGATTCATCTTCATTTAGTAGACTCCGACGCACATTGCATGCCCGCCTCTACCGCCATATCAAAGAAATCCTAAATTGGATGTTGAAAAACAAATTAAGGTTTCCTCAAGGATTTGGTAAAATTGAAAACTCAATTGAGGGCATCCGCGACCATCTGAGTGTTTAACTCCAGCTAATACTAGCGTGTTGGCCCTTTCGCGGTGCTCTCTTGTTCTTTTTTTTTACTCGTCATCTCCTAGTGGAATCATTCTGTTCTTGTCAAAATTATAGAATATCAACAATGACAACACCGCGACGAGGACAACAGCTCGACTGTTGTCTTTTTTCTATATCGAAGTAGAGTGTGATAACAAGAAGCGGTCGCCGCAATCATGCCACCACCGTTTCGCACAGTGGTAAGCCTGGCGCTGCTGGGCCTTACTGCGCTCGAGACCCAAGGAGGCAGCTCGTCGTCGTCGTCCTCCTCCTCCTCCTCCTCCTCCTCTCGAGAACAAGAAGATGGCACAAGAATAAGACTCCCGAATGCGCCAAGAAGTTTAGAGGATGGGAGTACTTCATCAGAGCAGAGCAGGGAGTCAAAGGGCAGCTCTCGGCAAAATAGTGAAGCGTCGTCGACAATAGCTTCGGCATCCAAAGCAGGGAACGTCGGAGCAGATGACGATGGGCGTACATCGGGTGGTAGTAGACGCAAACTAATGCGGGAAACCGACAGTCGGGAAGCCCGGCAGCAAGGGAGTAGTGATTCACCACATCATAGCAGAGAAAAAGTACATAAAGATTCAGAGAACAACAAGAGAAAGCTGACTGACGCGAACAATCAGAGCAGGACGTCGAAAAAACGACGTGTAGCAGAGCAGAATCTGGACTATCGAGGCGACGGGGAGCCCGCGGCGGCGTCTCTATCAACAAATAGTAACCTTCAACAAGAAGGAGCACCAGAGGCGACGAGGGTCTCCTCTTCTCACGATGCAGTGGGGGCTCTTCATATCGGAGAGCACGAGGAGGAAACCGGCAGTGCTGAAAAGCGGCGACTCGCGTCGCAGCCCTACGAGAAGGAGTGGAACTGGCTTGCGGGGACCATGGCTCGCATCGGGCTCTGGGGAGGCACGTTTGACTACAAGCTTTCGGGCGAGAGTATCTTCCTCAAGGCCACAACGGAAATGGCCTTGTACGATACGGTGGAGGTGAAGATGGGCGCCTTAAACAGCTTCTCCACGCTCGGCCATGCCAACGCCAAGATGAAGTTCATTGACGGGACGGCCACCGCGCGCACGCAATGCCAGAACGGTGGTCTCAAAGACGTGCAGCTGGGGGACGTGGACGCGTCGGGCGGGCAGTCGTATGGCTCGCAGACGCAGCCCTTGCCGCTGCAGCTGCAAACCGGGAACACGATTCAGTCGAACAGTGCGACGGGAACCATGGAAAAAATCGCCTTCATGCATGGTGGCAGTTACAAATTATGCTACGCGCCAGACGGCAACTTCGACTCCAGAACGAGCGATGTCACTTCGATGTGGCTCACGAATCCGATAGTGGTGGAAGGCGTCTCCAGCTCCTGCACGACTGCCAATTGTCTTTAGGGCTTCAGTTCTTGTTGTAAAAATCCATCTTTTTGAATGAATCTAGGGAATTCTTCTGGGCATCATCAGTCATGCGGGGCTCCAGAAAGAATGTATTTTCTCAACATGGACTTTTAGGTGGTAGGGAAGGGACTGCTTCTAATGTTTGAAGTCTGAGGCGTGGCACTGCTGGTACCAGGGTCTAGGGGAGTATCCGGGCAAGGCCGACAATGACTGGGTGAAATGCGCCATATCTTTCACGATCGGTAACCGGCGCGCGGGATGGGACCTCACGGTGCTTAGCGGAGCAACATCCAAAATGACGTGGAGCAAACTGTTTGAAGGAGAAACGTACGATGCCAATGGTGCGGTCGCAACGGTGCTTTTACTCTTCATCTCGTCCTCTTTCTGTTTGTGTGTGTGGAGTAAGTACTTTTACTTCATACTACAACAGGTTACTTGCTCATGTTGATGGATTGCTTATTACATGGTCGTACAGGGTGAACATACGTTCCTTTACGCCACCTGTGATCATAGCAGCTTAGGTTCTAAATCGTGGAGACGTCGGATTATTTTCTACGATCGATCACAGATAAGTTAAATGTATCATTCATATCAATCGTGTCTTGGCGAACCACATTACAGCCTGCCACGCAGCGTGAGTGCGGCGTTGAGGATGCAGAAGGTGGAATCTGGGATTACGTGTCGAAAGGAGGAGTAACTAGTACATTTTTGGATGTTTCGTCATCCCACATCGCTGAGATGCCACGGATAGGACACGACAAGACAGGCCCCTATACGATGCGGCTCTGCTACTGTCCGAATTACAAGGTGAACTCCGGACAAGCCGACAATTGTGGCGCGAAGGAGGACTTCATTCAGGCGTTCGGAATTCTCTACATTTGGAGGTTAAACATATGCGACTACGGCAACGCATTGACTAATTCGGGAACCGACTGTCGGGATGCGCCGTAATGCTTTCTTTGATAAGACCCTGAGGAAGATACTTACAACTGGAATGATTAGACGGGGACTTTCACTTTGCCTTACTACTTTCTCGTATAGGTGCCATTCCGTGCATTAGTCACAGGCCAGGTATCCGAAACATTTAACATTATGTTGTTTTTCTTCTTCTTTCTTTCATCTAGGCACCTTCTTCTAAGATTCTCGTCTATTCCGATATTTAGACGAGGGTATGCTTTTGATCTGCTTTCTCTCCGTAACAGCAATGGCTTTTACAAGGATCAGCATGCGAAAGTGCTTTCTTGTCTATGCTGCTTTTTCGACGGTCATGAATCCCTCAATTTTTTTCCCGTCGGTCGAATCTGCAACGCTGATTTTTTAGGTATTATCGTGTGATGCCGCATGTTCGATTCGTGCCGCAGATATCGTGTCCCAATGCCGGTGGTTGCAAGGCGACCAACTTCAACCGCATCGCTTTTGTGGAATTGGAGCCGACGAACGATCGAAATTTTTGGGATTCGAACGCTGGTTGCGCAACTACGGGACAAACAGAGTCAAGTAAGACAGTGTGGCCCGACAGCGGACACACCCGGAATCTAGGAGGCGGCGCACGCTTGGACTATAAAGCGTGGGCAGAGCACTTGCCTCGTCTAGATATCTCATCGGGAGAGCAGCTTGACGTCTGCTACTGCAATGGTGACACCTCAACGACCTGTCAGGTACTCGCTCCCCTTTTTCAATAGAACTTGACAACTTCAAGCACAACACCAGCAAGAGTGGTTACCCGCATTAGAGACATAGTTATGTTGTCTGATCAGGAAGAGAGAAAGAAAATAAATGCAGAAAAAGTTTCTGGTGAATGCATCGTACTAGGAGAAATAGATCTAGTTGATCAATTTGTTTGGTCCCAGTACATTTTTGATTTTTCCATCAACAGACACCCTCGAATTGGTTTCGCATTGGGCACGTCGTGGGAGGCAGGTTTAATCCCTCCTCGGTGGGTGACAGTGCCGGATCCGGTAGCCCCAGTGCCAACCTGGGTCTCGTGCAAGTGGCAGGAAAACAAGGCATTCTCAGCTACGTCACTGGGTTCAAGACAGATGCGTACATTCCGAGTGTGAATAACGAGGCGAACCATAATCGCTACGTGGCGCGGGCCGACGGACCGCGGTTCTCAGACCGGGCGATGGTGAAAGTGATGTCGTACGACACGATTGGTATGATCTCCTTCCAGGGTCTGCGCCGGACGCTGGAGCACTACTACGAATTTGATAAGAAGACTCCGGCAGACAAGACGTCCAAGCTCGATACGCACTGCCGAACCAGCGCTTACTCCTCGGACTTAGTCAGTGGCCCCAGCTCCGCTGCTTTGGCTATGAACTACCTCGCCATTGCGAACAGCACTACGACAGACAAGAACGAGGTGTCGACCTACTTTTCCTTCACTGGTCCCGACAAAAATCGCACTATGACGGTGGAGAAGGCAGGAGTCATCGCTATTTGCTTCTGCGGTATCATCAACGAGGTTGACAATCCATACACGTGTGCTAAAAACTGGCGTTTCGCTGGGCTGCTTATGGTGGCCGGACCCAGTGGAACCCAAACTTGGAACCTCCCGACAAAATTGGTACTCTTGATAAGAAAGGAAAATCAGTACTCTGTTGTAGTGTTTTCTAACATCAATTTGAAAAACAGTCAAAATAATGCATATGCTAATCCAGCATTAGGCGGGTTAATTTGTTTGTACGTGACAATAATTCCTTGCAAGTAGAGAAGTTCTTGGAGTCTCGCATTCACCACTTTTACACTTTTGCTAAACATACAACGTCAGGTATCGCGGTTGCACATCCAAGGTTCGGGGTTGACGAGCGGGGACGTGCTGCGGCTGATTCCCAAGACGGGAACGTGTAGCGGCAACGTGGCCCCGTCACCGACATACAAGGTGGGCTGTCCCTCCGTGGAGGGAAACGGGTGCATTACCGGCTCCAACTGCCCGGACACTAGTGACGGTAAAACGTGCCGAATAGCAGGGATGGTCGTAAACAGCGGCAACGGCGCTTACATGACACTGCAGACGCTGAACAAGGTACGCATGCAGCCAGCCACCGGAATCTACCGTGTGGCGACGGAATACAGCGGCGCCGAGCACACCGTCTTGGAATTCACGCAGATTGTGCAAAACAATGGACTCGTGGAGGGCGATACGATCCACATTCACAAGAGCGACATCAAATTCGTCACGGACAACGCGCAGAGCTTCGCCACTTGGAAAAGCAACAGCAAGATGCGGGAGGCCGCGGATGTTTTCACTAACGACTTTGCGTTGATGGACAAGTTAAGCACACAAAATTGATTGAACCTAAGTTTTCGGCATAACGTTTGTCTTCACAACTGTTTTTGTTCTGTGTAAAAGAATTTCGACTAGAAAAATCGGTTGTATGGGTTTAAGCTCATCCATAGGCTCATCGTGTAGGATACTAAGCTACCCATAGCTGCTTCTTCTTCTAAACAAGGGAGATGCTACAATTTACGGCACAGCTAGCAATACTCTGGGATGGAAAATCTCGTTCTACGACCACGCCAGTATCGCCACGGCAAACAAAGGAAAATACATTTCCATACCACTGCGATGGTCCAACGAATTCGGTGCGGGAGGAAGGTACCCCTACGTCATCGAGTTTGAATCCGGATCCGGTGGTTGGGATCGCACCAACATCATCGCAACGAATACGGAGATCAAGGGTATACTTAAGAGAATATAAGGTTGATGTTCTTTTGGCTTCTTTTTAGGTAGTTCTTACACCATAACTAAATGGCATGGGGCAATCACGTGGCATTTCAAGGCTTCATCACTGGTTTTTCTACTATCTGAGCATCGGCCGTGCGGTGTTGATGACATGATTGCTGATGGATTCTTCTCAAACCCCATTGCGCGTAACTGCTCCTTGTTCGTCTCTTAGGCATCAACCCGACCGTTGCGGGTGAGGAGTTGCAGGCCTGCTGGGGCAGGCTGAACGGAGCGACGCCCGAGTTTTACAAGAGTGCTGGTCATGTGTCTTTTTTCACACCTCCTAGCATGGCCTTGGCTCTGCTCAGTCTTGCGTCCTCTGCCGAGTCGGTCACAAGTCCCGCCATCATCAGTTTCAAGACCAGCGGTCTGCGATCTGAGTACGCGCAGCATACCATCGGCAAGAGCCACAAGCTCGTCATTCGCTTTCTGGATACCAGCAAGTTTGATGGCTATGCCAACAGCGAACTTCCAACGCATACCTCGGCTATAGCAGCCTTGGCGGGGACCACCTTCAAGAACGAAGTGGAGGCGAGGCAATCCACCTGCGGCCAGCTTTTCGTGGAGTTGTATTCGACCGACAGTGAAGGCTTTCCCTTTCCCAAGGGTTGCTATTACTTACGTCTTGTTTGTTACTGTTAGCCTTTTTTTTTACCTCGTTTGTAGCGTGCCCCATCATTTTGAACCCTATGAATCAATGGGTTCACTAAACGACCACTAGCCACTGCATCAATCTTTAATTGGCACCACGCACTTGTAGAATGAGTTGTGAACAAACGTTGCTTCACTATCAAGCTTTTCTATTCTTGCCATTATCGTTTTCTAAATTAGAGTGGAAAATACACCGACCTCGAGGAGGGTGGCGGTGAGACGACGTGGCGCGAGTTTACGATTATTTTTGAGAAGAGCGCGGGCATCAAGCATATTTGTCATGATGTCTCCGGTGCTGCGATTGAATGCGTCTATCAGCTAGTCGTTTACGCTCAAAGTAAGCCCACGCTCGTCACTGGTGGGAATTATATCGACATCTACACCAAATGCGACGCCTGTGGAGCGGACGGGAGCGATATCGTCTTCGAAATCGGTATAGTCTGTAGTGAATTAGCTCTCCGCGACGTGTTTTTGTTACGGGTCAGTCTCCCAAGTCAGTCGTGTTAGTAACATTTGTATTCTAGCAGTCAATTAGAAATTTGAATTTAGTAGAAGTACAGGTTTTTAGGTACTTTAGTAGTGATGAATTGATGGGATGTATCCTCTTCATGAATTCTCCAGGTCAAACTGTTTTCAATGTCGATAGTCCCAACGGGCAGACGCAGAGCGAGGGTGGAACTGGAGCGCCGGGCATCGAGCAGTTCCGAGTGATTTACGAGTCTGGTGCTGCTTTCCGCGATATCGGTGTTGGTGGTCGATTCGCGACCTTTGATATTCGAATGGTGGCCAAGTCTATCAGTCGAAGCATCGACTCCAAGAATATCATCCGGTTCTACCTCATGCCTCTCCTCATGTGGTCGCTATCAAGTACTTCTTTTTTCTAATTTTTTGTTAAAGTACGTTGACGTTGTCGTAGAGGTAGCACTACTATAGCGAACTATTCCCGTGGTCATAGATAAACCTGTTAGTATTCGCAGACCTAACTTTTACGACAAACTTATTCAGCTACAACCACTCAAATTCGTTGCATGGATCACTTTTCTGGTTTGGTTTCGTTCCGATGTGGCGCAGGCGACGATGACCGCAATCCGGACTTGACGGTGCACAACCTCGCTCTGCAGCCTGGATTGACACCAGCGCGCCGCAATGTGATCAAAATCCACATTACGACAGGAGACTTTAACCGGTTAATTTTTCCCTCCATTTTTAGGTCTATCCCACCATGCGAACTATTCTCCTTACTTCTGTTTATTTTTTAACCTTAATTCGCGAATGACCATATCAGGGGCACACACGTGACCTTAATAACCTACCAATTTGAACTAAACAAGGAAAGCTAGGTAGTGTTGCTTCTGCAATAGTACCTATGATGGTTTGAGAAAAATTTCAGACCTCCTCCACGATCCAGATTTTCTTAGTGCGAATACTGTAGAGAAGCTACTTTGTTGGGCTGCAGCCCTACATACATGCGTCAATTTAAGTACCTATGAATGCAGCATATGCTACTTCTACTTGATCATGAGATCATGATAAGGAGTTTCTCGAGCAGAATAGTTTTCTCGTTCATGCTCTTGCCGGACGTGATGAAGGACCCGGTGACGAAGGAGACGACGCACACGTTGAAGTTTTTGAACTTGGAAACACCGAAGGGAGGGTTTTTCAACAAGCGTTGGGGCATCCAGTTGTCGACAGAGCATGATACGCTGCCAACGTGGGGCTGGACCGACGGGTTCTTTTTGAAGGAACCAGAGGCGGGTATGTCGACCGGGCGCTTGGTCATCAATGGACCGACAGGCTACGGGCCGAAACCCTTCAAGTCGGACACCGGGAACAATGTGTATGTGCGCATTCAGTTAGGAGCGACCATCTGGAATAACGGCAAGCCGGATGCCGGTACGTTCACCCTAAAACTGCCTGCCGCGTCGGGAAAATCTTATACTTGTTCCGTGTACGACGGCGGTACCGTGCCAATGACGCTGCCTCCGTTTAGCGATTTCGACATGGACGGGTACCTGGATGCCAACTTTGGGGTGCTGGGCACGCACCCGTCGGAGGGCTACTGGGCGGCGCAGAGTGGACCGGACTGCGACTACTTTTTGTCTCCATACATGACGATCCATTCGGGGCAAGTTTTCTTCATCCAGCTTGCGGTGACGAACCCGGAAAACGCCATGATCAAGGACGACCCAGCGAATGAGTGGAAGATCAAGATGCGATCTAAGGGAGTGGGCGGCGACAGCGCCGTCGACATGCCCAACTCTGGAGGCTACACCTTTTTGTCCTCCGAGACGTCGGTGAACCTGCCTGGTCGTCCCAAATTGTGGTATAAAAATCTGGGAGTGCTGGACGAGATCTCGCAGCCCGTACTGCAGCCGTTGCAGCTGAAGGCAAGTACGGTGGCGAGCCCGATGGAGACGCAGTTGTACATCTTTTTCCAGATGCAGTCCTTCGTGGGCCGCATGGGTTTCGTCAAGCTAGATGCGCCCTGTGGCTATGACTTTGGCTCGAGCTGCAAGGCTGCGCCGCTTCCGCCCTTTTACTACGATTTCTACGATGTGGGAAGCCTCCCGACCCGCAACTTCACGCGCATCATGCAGTGTCAGGGCAAGAATATTGTGGATCAGTGCGGTGCGGACAGCACGCTCTTCAATTAAGGCCTCTCCTTTCTGTGTAATAATGAAATGAAACCGAAGATTTTTCTTTGTAAGACATTCTCAGAAGGATGAAATCTTTACGATTTTTGGTCAAGAAAAGAATAAAAGTCTTCAAGTATTTTGTTCTTTCTAATGTGCCCGAGCGCGCGTGATGGTGGGCGATAACGTCGTCGCTATGGGTAAGTACGGGTTCCAGTTGACCGCCGTGCTGGCGAGCGAGTACTCGCAGGCGACGCAGAACACGTGGAAATTGTACGTCGCAGATTCCAGGGACTACGTGGTCGACGGTGTGAGGGATACCCTGAATCTGATGCGAGATTCCTTCACGGGTACGGGGACGGTGCCGCAAACGGACAAGGCGTTTGGACTCTTCAAGAGCGACTTCGATTTGATGCCCATCAGCATCAAGATGAACTCGATGATGCCTACGAGCTTGGCGGGAAATTTCGGAACCATGATGACCTTTGACGGCATTCAGACAACGGTGGCGACCGCCACGACCCTCAGAATTGTGGCGCCTCCCGGCTTCAAGTTCAATGGTAAACCGGCAGGGTTGGTTGACACTTTCGTCGGTTTCCCGGGGTCCCAAGGTGGGCGTGCGCTCTGGAAATGCAGTACTATCCCAAAAATTCTTTCTACTTCTGGTTCATATCACAGCACTCAATTACTAGATACCAGATGTATAATTTTTATGCTTTTCACCGTTTTTCTCAGTCAATAAATCACATACACATTTACACTTACCAATAGCATCTCGAAGCTAACAAGTTGATTTAGAGTTTGAATATCCAACAGACATCAAATGTCAATCTGTTTGATTCTAATAACAGGAGCGCCTCCGGTAATTTCGGATGATATGCGGGACCAACTGAGGTTCGAAGAGTGTCAATTTGCAGCCAATGTCATGTACGGATTCGACATCGAGGTCGTTATTCCTGACTTCTCTGCCAGTGATGCAGGTACTTAGAAGACTTAATAACTGAGTGGTACCTACCTAGGATAAACGGTTGATAACTCTGTTGTAACTGCTACTAAAAGTAACGGAGAACAAATGAAATATGTCGATGTTGATTGATGAATGTTGTTCCTTGCGTGCTTTTCTCTTCATGATGCAATGTGAATGTATTCTCTTCGAAAAGGAATACACAGATAATTAGAACTTCTTTTAAATTTAAAGAAGTAAATGAACCACTTCTCTGGATAGTTGTACACATTTCTTTGCTGCTACAACACTACTTTATCTCCTGTATAATATGCAATTCGTGAACCACCAGGTAACATGTTCATTGTGGAGATGGGTTTCCAGGGGACCGATATCACGGGTTCTGGTACATCAACGCGCTTGCACGCGCGCATGATCGAGAGTCCTTTGATTAAGGCCGTGCGAAACACGCTCCTCGACTACAGTTCGAATCGTGCGCAGGATACGCAACGGCTTACAATCTCTTATGAACCTATTACTCATAGTGCGTGCAATACAATAGTTCTACTTCGCGTGTGTTCTACTTAACAAGACAGTCTGGTTTTCGATCCAGTAACATAAGCATTTTTTAAGATGTTGTAGCACCAGTGTGTACTTTGTGTGTGACAACTCAGTCGTCGGCTCTGTTGTATTACTAGAACTAGCTTTGGACTCGTACGTCAAGGTCGAGCGTTAAAAAAATCTCCTGTGGCCGCCTTTCTTAGGCCTTTTTTGGTATCCCTAAGCTTAGTTGCGACTAGTGACCGCGTTGGATACGTTGGATGACGGTATCGTGATCGAGGGGCGCGAGGGAAACACGCAGTTCCAGTTCACCTGCTATAGTGAGACTTTCCCTTTTCCCGGATTCATGCGATTTCCCACCGATTATGGCTGTCAGTTCGCGAATCAGCGATACACACTGTACCGAAAAGAGGAGGACTTCCCGACAGGGTACTACAAGTGGCAAGTGCTCGTCGCCAACCCCATTTCCGCGATCCCCTCACCAGGGAGCTGGCAGTTCGGCACATTATGATCGTCGAGTCAGAAAGTAGAATAAGATAACTTGTTACTAGTTGTAGTTGTACAAGTACAGAAATTTTTACACGATAGACAGGTACAATTCAAATAGAAGGGTAGCAGAGTTGCTGATGACCATTTTGTATCCACCAAATGAATGCTCAACATGGGACAATCACCAGCCTAGGAATCCTGTACAACGAAAAAATTTCCCTTTCATTTTGCTACCACCAGTCGCACAACGGTGGATATCCGAACAACAAGATCGACCGTCCGGTGCTTACGCTTGGCTTCCCGACTCGGGATATGATGCCGGATGCGAAATTAGTGCGGTTTTCGTCCAGTTCGAAGCAAGAGCAAGTGGACGTGGCGACGAAGCGCAACGACCGGCCGGGCTACCCGAACAAGCCTGCAGTAAACCAGCTCATCTTCCAGTTTAACCTGAAAAATCGCCCAGAAGAGGAGAGCAAGATAATTCTTCGCGGCCCGGAGGGATTCCAAATTGCGGACGACTGCACCGACAAAGTCATCATCGACGAAAACGACGTCTTTTATGGCTGGTGTTGTGTGATTGTTATTTTTGTTTGGAAAGTAGGACTGACTCTCTATTGGGGAGAATATGGCATGACCAAGGGTGGGGGGTCGTACGACGAAGGAGGATGTTGTTAGTCCACACTCATAGTCATCTTCGTGTTGGCTCGTGGCGACCTGTGTCTCTGGTGTTTCTGGCATTCCTCTTTTGGTTTGCTTCTGGGTGTAAACTGATATGATTTGCCCAAAGTGCGGCCATTTTCAGTAGTATTTTCCATGCTAGGTCTGTAGCGTTGGATTATGCTCTCTCCGCCTTAGCACGTTACTGCTAGACTCTTTGGAACGGTTTCGACTTAGTTCCCTTTCCCTAGGGTCTGGTCTCAACGTTGATTTGGCAGGTCAAATCGGAGACAAATAACATGACATCTTTGTCTTTGCCTCGTCACCGCTCACCTTCTTCTCAACTCGAGCGTCTTGATGTAGGCGCGCAGCTCTTACTGCCCGCAATGTCTTCTGGAGCTTGTTGTGCTCCACTTCGACGTCATATTCTAACGAAGCACCTTTGATTGAGATGTATAAACGCATATGAGCGCAGTGTCTCGTCACTTAAATTTCACTATGTTCTTCACTCCCACGCTCCTTTCATGTTTTTGGTGAGAATACCGCGAGTCAGTGGGACCCTCAGTTTACCAAATGGGCCCTAGCTTATGCACCAACGAAATGTGAAGCTGAAGGAAACCGCGCCAATATTACTGTCCCGATAGGTCTCGACGCAGGAAGCACTTATGTTTTCAGGTACTTATAAACATTAGAGACTGGCGACATAATAAGCTGTTAGTGTTGACTAAGTTTGATGAATTTAGTTGTTTATTGAACAAACAATGTTAAAAACCCGACATCCCTCCAGGATTTGATGGATTTTTATCCACACACCAACAATAGGTTAGAGATAGCAAACAACCCGTCGGCCACACCTGACCCGAATTACTGGACGTTGGAGTACAACGGGGAGGCGTCTCTCCCCTTCGAAGGCTTTACGATGATGACGGCTACCGACGTGAGCCTGACCCCGGTCTCATTGTCACGACGGTCCTCCGATCCGGTACACTATTTTACATTTGATTGTAGTACTAGAAACCTCAGGACGCTTCAGTAACGTTCATCTTCCTATTATTTATCATATCATTCTTGTGTTTCGATGATGATTGTTATAGTTTTGTTGTGTTATGTTTGTTCATCAGGTGAACGTCTTCGTGAACCCACTGGAGTTCGCATTTACGCCCATGCAAAGCGTTCCAGCGAGACAGGAGAATCAGAATTTTGGGGGTATGGTGCGGATTTTAGCACCACCTGGGTACGAGTACGTGACCGTTGCAGCAGACACACGTCGTAACTTAGACGATGAGGATGAAGAGGCACTCGCCGAAGAGGAGCGCGAGGATCGCTTGCTGGCTATGTGTGCCGAGGAGCAGTTAGTTAAGCGATCATTTTTTTGATCTTCAAGGCTCAGCGAGCTAGAAGAGATTCCTTAGAAGTTCTTAGATGAGGAATCTTAGTTCTACCTAGGAGATAGAAAAGTTCCCACTAAGCTGGAGCGAACAAAGCCGGGAAGTATGGAGGAAGTTGACTACACTCGCTGCGAGGCCACTGAATTTGCAGCCGCTTCGGCACCAACAACACTCGAGACGTACCTTTCGGACGAGGGGCATCGGTCTCAAGTGCAGGAGCGCGTACGAGCTGCGACCCGTCGATCTGCCGCTGCGAAGCGACGGCGACTTTCTTCTACCTGCCAGGTAGATTTGCGAACGGCAGACGGAACTAGCCTTAAGGATCTCGCTTTATACCATAGTTGATTTTTTTCATAAAATGATAATATGGACAAAATAATGAACATTGTGGCGGGGGTGAATACGAAGATTCAACTTCGGCAAATGTAACTAGGAAGACCATTTCTTGGTGACCACTGAGATGCCAAGTTCTAAGAACTGCTTTGTCTCCGGAACGGACGTTATCTGCGAAATTACAGGCACGCTAAACGCGGGCATGTACCTGAGTGCGAAGATTAAGTCTTCCACAAAGAGCGTCATTGCCGGGACCGCTTACAGGATGACAGTCTATGTCTACAATCGTGCTTCCATCGCTTATCCGGTAATTTTGATTTTGCTTGAATAGAACTCGGTTGTGACATATTTATTAGTTTATTAGTTTTTTTGTCGAGAGACATCATGATCTTCCCCAACCGTTTTATGATCTTTTTGACTATCATAATTTCTAAAAAATTCAGCACAGCGGCTTTTACGCATCGTACTACGAAACTAAGAGTACTACAACGAATTGATATCTCATCTCTCTTACTCTTTTCATAGGACAACGGCGGCGTCTTCGAGATGGAAACTTTTGCGGTGTCGGAGGACTCTGGGCTGGTCACTACCGAGAATTCGCGACTCGATTTGACGCAGATTCCGGGATTCCCGACAGTTCCTTTGATGTACGAGTGGACCGTGACAAACCCTGCTTCGCAGCTCATGGGTACATTAAGGCTTGTTTTTCTCTTTCATTCATTTGGAGACATTTTGAGAAGAAGCATCTTTGCGTTTGGCCCTTTTGTTTTCGTTCTTCAGGAGAGACCCGTTTTCATCTACGGGGATGAAAACAGGGCAAAGATGAGACTCTCTGGATGTTGGAAATTTGGGCAAGCTCTTCTAAGTAGAGAGCCAGTCCGTGACGTGGAATTCGCGTTGCGGTTGCCGGATGCCCTCTATGATTTAGACGAGATCTGGATTTTAGCTCCGGAAAATTTCAACCTGGCCGTGGGAACCACGGGCGCGTGCAACAACTTCCGCTGGGTCTCCGGTTCCAGTCCTTTCCCCACAACCGTGACGCCTCTGTGCGAGTGCAATCCGTTGTGGCAGGTGAACGGGGTGCAGCGCTGTGGCATGAGCATGGTGATGAACAACTTCGGACTGCTCACTGTGTCTACCGACCAGAACGCGCTCCGCTTCATGGTGGACACCGCCAACCCTTCGAAGGTGGTTTCTGAGATCGGAAATTACTGGAAGTGCAGTCACATGAAGAATATAGGTACAAGAAGTATGCAGCATAAGTGTTTGCCTGCATACTACATATACTGGCGTTTTTACAGCAACATGATGTTTCTTTCACAGTCCTTTGTTTTTTTTCTCCGCGCGACATTTAGTATCGCCTATGGATTTATATTGTTATCCTTATCCCGCAGATCATGACTCTACATACTATGAATTGTCGATTCTACACATATAAAGTTGAAGTTTTTTTATCATGTTCGTCCATCCCTTTCCCCTCGTCCCAACATTTCCCCCATATCCGATATCAACCCACCTTCGGGCATTAAAGATTTTATGGTGTTGTTTTGTACCTTTCCATAATAACAGCGGGATCTTCATCAGGTTCCGTGAATTTGAACGGAGTAGCGCAGGTTCAGTACGAGGTAAAGAGCGAGCACGCCTTCCGCTCGTGGGTCGTGAAGCCGCAGCTACAGCAGGTCTCGATTACCATCCACAACACGGCTCGTATGGCAGCAGAGGCCCATACAGACCTCATGTTTCGCTTCCTTGCGGTTAACAACGCAGTCACGCTCAAGATCGAAGCCATGCAGCCAGCTGACTTCCGCTTCGACGCCGCAGCCGTAGACAACTTCCAGATTGACGGAGCGACCGGTACTGTGTGCTATGGAAATTTCACTATATATTTACAAGACAAGTAAAAAATAGAAAGTACCTACAGATAGATTTAGGAAAGTAGGTAGAAAGTAGCTAGAGATTTAGGGAAGGTGGAAAGTAGCTCGAGATTTAGGGAAGAAAAAAAGTAGCTAGTTATGAAGTAAGACTTCTTTCCTGCGAGGTTCCGGTTCGTCTATCGTCAGCATATTTCATAGGTGAAGGAGATCATCCAAACTTCTATTTCTTATAGGAAACAATGTGTTGGTGCTTAACAACATGGACATTCAAAGCGGTGCAACAAAGCAGATTCTTGTGCGAAATGTCAAGTTGGGAGTGCAGGGTGGTCCGACGGTCTTCAACCTCCGAACGTACGACCGAGCCCTTTTAGGTACTTCATAGTGCTTTCAACTTCTTGCATTGAAGTCGCTCTATAGTTAGGTCGCGATTAACTTCAATCTTATCGCGTTGTTATAACCTCCATTACGTGAAAGCGTCGTCTTCGGTTCCACATAATCGATCTTCCTAGTTATTGTAGCATTTTGTTGTAGGACTCTTTGACATAAATCTACTAGCCTCACAGTAAAACGTACTGCATTTTATTTGTGAAAATTCAACCCAGGTGGTCAAATGCAGGATGCTTCAGATTTACAAGATGAGAAGATATCAGTGATAGGATTTCGAATGCCTGGGCTTCTCTCTGTCATTCCTGGAAGCATGCGCCTCGAGAGCGACTTCGCGGCGAATCCAACAGTCTATTTAAGGCCCGCGATATTTAATTTTGTCTCTGATCGATCGCAATAAGTAGTCGCTACAAGAAATATGCAATATCCACTTGGAAAACTGCACAGGAGGATGTTTCTACATATTACGAGGATTTTGTGAAGTCCTTTTTACCCACCTGTAGAAGTAGGTTTTATCTATCAGAGAAACGAATCAGGGACCGGGAGTCATCATGTCTCTCTGCAAATCCATGAGAGCTCTAATGAATCCAGTGGAAGCGATGTTCCCTGCGCGTGAGCTGGAGCTGAACACCGCTGTGATGATCTTCCAAGTGACGCAGACCGTTTTCGCGCAAAGTCTGATGCTTGTTACCTGCGAGGGCCAGGATCGCTACATTCTCGAAGCGAGTGGGTTCTCGTTAACCGGTACTGGAAGCATCGACATTGATACGGTTTTAAATGCGGTGACCGGTTCGCTGGAGGTGACGCTCAAGCCCGGTGGAGAAAGCTCGGTCTCGGTGCTGATTCCTGGGCAGCAATACACGATGAGGTTCCGCGTGACCGCGAAGATCGGGAACAGCAACTGGCGCGTGGTCACCTACACGAGTCGCGCGGCGTTTCTAGGTGGGGAGCTACCGTCGAACACTAACGACGGACAGACGCCGCCCTTCGCACCCGTGTACCGTCTCGGCTTCGACATTGCGGTGCTCAACAGCCGCTCACCGCCTCAGGCTGAGATCGAGATCGCGTTGAACATCCAGCCACAGGGTGCGCAAGTTAAGCAGGTGATCATCATCGGACCGGAGGGCTTCGATTTCCCCATGAATTGCGGCAACATGTGCACAAAGTACAACAACGTGGGCGTACAGAATCGACGCTCCATCAAGCTCGAGTCGCCGCAGGGCACCCCATTGACTGCCTTGGAGCTTTCAAACATGGTAGTGAAGACGATCACACCGAGTATGACACCAGGACAGCGAACCTGGTACGCGCAAACGAGGTACAATTTTCGTTTCTCAAAAGTATTTTTCGAGTAGATCACATCGGTAACATGATCTTTCTGTGAATTGAAGCGCTTGTTCGCAGTTGCTAAAGAATTATTGCTCGTTTTTTGTTCGTTTCGTCACGTTTTTTTATTCAACATCTTCAACGTTTACAACAAGTGTATTCACATGATTTGTGCTAACTTGTATGTTTTGCTTTCGCACTCATTTCCACAGGAGTGGTTCCGTCGTAATGGGTGGTATGCAAATCACCGGTTGGCACCGCACAGTCGGGTTCGAAATCAAGCAGATGTCAAACACGAAGTTGTGGTATCCGTCGAGGCGCGCACTGATGGGGACGCTCTTTGCCTTTACTTTTACTCTGGGAGTAGACAACGGGCAGCGAATCGAAGTCAATCCTCCCATTCTCTACGAGCTCTACTGCTCCACGATGCCGATGACCGGACGACCGGCGCTGCAGGCGATTTCGTTACCAGGAGGAGATCCGACCTGCATAGACTCTCCTTTTTAAGGCGTCCATTTAGTCTGCTCCTGACAGTACAATGTGCTCATGACTGTCTGTAATCTGTTCCTTACTGACCAGACCTGTTTTTGTCTGTAGCATTCATCCCGACGCTGTCCGTCTTCGTGCGCCAATAAAGGTAGCCAACTAGACGACGGTAGTCGTACTAGCAAGCCAATATTGTCGTGGCAAAGTCTTGAATAAAGTAAGTATGCTGTCTTTCTCTTGCAGCTAGGCAAGAAATGCGGGGCGCCATTTGAATCGTAAACAACGACTTAAGCTGTACGATAATGCTTTTTTGTTCCTCCATGTTACTCTATTTGTTATTGCTCTAATCCTCGACACTGATACTCGCAAGTCCTCTTTATGCGGGCACCTACTCGTTTATCATCGGTGGGGATGTGCCGGCGCAGGCGCCTCCAGCGGGACAGACACAGTACTAAAAATATTATGATAGATCGTTCTTGTTTGATGATGTTGCGAGAGAAGCATCGACTTCGATGTGATGAATCGTCTGAAATTGAAGGTGGTGGACCTCCCAGCCATTGAATAGTGTCTCATGTACAGGTTCTTTTCTTTGGTGATCAAAGACAATCGAGGAATGGTCCTAGATGCGGCGTATGACATTCCTGCGGTGAATCCGCTACAAGAAATACCCGCATCGTCGGTTAACTTGAGGTGGCAGGGCGCACCGGCTCGCTTACGCACAACCGTTGTGACAATAGGTATTTCTATTTGTTCTCATGTCTACTGGAAATAGACTTTCCTTCTTCTAGTAGGGTATTTCGACATTCAAGGAGCGAGTCAACAAACCTCTCTGAGATAGTGCATGTCTTGTGACTATAGAAGTAGCTTCAGTAACGACTTTCTTACTCACCTCTTAACCAGAGAAGCATAAAATCTTACCCCGTAAACAGGTATTACTCTGGATCGAGCGACCAGGGAGATCGAGGCTTTCCTAATCACGTTCCCACCTGGACTCAAGCACGACATTCAGACGAGCACAGATGTGAAAAATCTAAACAAGGCCTTACCAGTGGCCCCTGCCACTTCTTGGGTGGATCACGGAAACGACATGTACCTCCGCATCCTGGTGGATCAGTTTGGAAATGAGGTGGCGCAAATTCCAAAAGGCACCTACGAGTTCGAATTTCCGATCCTCTTCTTATGGCTGGTGACGATTACATGCGAATAAATTAAAATTAGAATTAGTCTTATATATGTGGTAAGAAGCTGCTGTATCAGTAGTGTCATATGAGAAGATCCTAATAAATAACCTAAATTGAGGCAAGGTTTTGCAAACAGTGTAGGAGAGCTCCGAGAGACGCAATGATGATAGAGTGAATCATTGATCGCATTGATCTACTTTCGTTTTCCTAGCTAGGCTCTGCTCTGCTCTCTTATCTGAGTTGGAACTAGACATCAATCATTTTCTTGGTAAATCATATTCATGACAGATGAGGTAATCCAAATGACAATTAGAAATGCGTTGTACGTCGACGTACATACGTAGTTCTCGACGTACTAAATAGTCCTACGACTACATAGCTCTCGACGTACAAAGACGCGTGTATTAAGTTTTTCTACGTACTACATAGTTTTCGACGAGGTTTTCCTAGTCGTCTTGCTCACAGCTCTAATGTTTCCAGCCCAGCTTCCAGCGGAAAATATCTGGTATTTTTCGCTCTGCGCGGAAGACACCTGCTCCCAGATTTTGACCGACGGAAGCACGATCATCCCTATGACCTTCCCTGTAGGAGGATTCCGAGAAAGCGAAGTTTCGCTTTATGCCACGCGCACATCGGGAAGCAGCAGAGCTGTGCCGTTCTGGATGCGCTGGATGCGCGACTCACTCGGTAGGACACACGGCACTCGGACACTCGCTTTTGTCCTCTCCGTCGCTTCGCTCCTCGCTCCGGTTGCCGCTCTCACATTCCGCGACAGACGGCGGTAACTCTGATCCTACTAATCTTAATACATGTGAGATGTTGCGTACTAGGGTACAACAGCGATCAGGTTGTCGAGCCAATGTTTACTAAATCATACCTTGAGGGGGCAAGTCACCACGAAGATATACTCAATTACATTTACAATCAATGAATTAGATGCTGAATCTTGTATGTATAGGAAAAGGAATACGAATTTGACAAATTATTGCAAAGATGATTAACGAGTAGAAGGCGAACCATCATGTATCACTAGTTCTAGTTCTTGCTGGCCAGTTCTTTTTTTGGACAACATGGAAAAGTCTTTTCCCTGCTTTTCTGCGTAGTCGCTCTCAGACGTCGAGATGAACTGTATTTCAATTTCAAATTGTTTTGATTATAGTACGTTGGGTGACACCAGTGGAAAGAGGTATAGGTGTTAGTGCAAACAACTAGTACAAACAATGAATATAGATTCCAAGAGAATCTCGATACAAGAATACTAAAAGATCATTGAACAATGCTAGTGGAACAAGAGGAACAAGAATTAGAATACAGAATGTTGATTTCCCCCGATATAATCTCTTGAAATTAATTCCCCCGACTTCCTCCATAACGTGCTACTCTCGTCCGCAAGGTTTTTCTTCAGATTTCCACAAAAATTCAAGCACACAACCAAATAATTGCTTCTTAATCTTAACTTCGTCTTAATCTTATATAGAAGTAGATCGTGACAGCTTGTCGGAGGCTCGTTTACGAAGGGCGTGCCAAGATTAGGAGTGGGGCTCTCATTAAGTTGCTAAATAAGGCTCCTAGATCGATAACAAGAACCCTCGCATGCAGATGGGCCGCGACTGTCATAAGAGATATTCTCCTGTTCTTGAAGATGAAGACGACTAGTATGATTTCAATGTTGTTGTATATTGCATGGTGTCGAGGTGCATTTTAAGGGAAAAGTGGCGGTGGTTTCTTAACAAAACTGACAGGCCGCCAGGGTGCTGTCAGTCTATTGGCTAGTTCGGTTCTTGTGTTATATTTATTGGTTTCTCCTACACGCTGACCGGGTACTCCCCTACACGCTGACCGGGTACTCCGTCTTCCGTCATCTCTTTTCACAGTAGTAAAGGGTGACGCAAATTTGATGCAATAGTGCGAGAAGAACAACACCATTCAATAATCCATGCTCTTCGCTGCGTCGTACTAAAGTCGCGCCATCGTCCTGAAATCGCGACGACCTTCGTATAAGGACGTTTGACAATGGGGGGAACATTACGAGCGAAAGGTACAAGAGTTAAGATGGCATCCCTCAAACTGAGCAGACCGACGCCATTTCATGTTCTTGAGCTTTGTAAATTCGATACTGATGAAATTCCAGTTGCATTGATGTCAAGTCTGATTCTGCTAATAAAGATCCTTATGGTCTTCCTACGAGGAGTATTGTTATGCTAAGATCCCCGGTATGCTTATAATGATTTGAAAATTGATTATACGTGTTGCAATACGACACTGTAGCAGTGGCTGCGCCAGAAAGTGTTCTGCGTGTTCATTATAACAACGATTTCGAGCTGTAGTACTGTCGGTCGGGTGAGGCTGTTTCTGTGAGAGAGCATGGACAGAGAAAAATGCAAGATTTTGAATGAGGCACAAGAAAGAGAAAGAATGAAACGCAAGGTTTTGAAGTACGTCTTAGCGAGAAGGGTGTCTGTTCAAGGACTCATCTACCAATCTGTGCGTGTGTATGAGAGTACGTGAGAGCGTCTTGAGCTTCTTTGTGAATTTACTTTGAGGTCTGTCGATGCAAGTAGTGTCGGTGCAAGGAGTGTAACTTACTATGAGAGTGTTGCGTGACTATATTAATATTTCTTTACTTGGCGATTCCACCGTCAAGAGTGGATCCAGATTTAGCCATATCCCGCGGCACAGCCCTATAGTTGTATGAGCATTTGAAATAATGTTGACCCTGGATAGACTTGGCACGCATAGTCCATTTATTGATTTGATGAAATCTAGATACTCAAATTTGAGTAGGCATCGTGTGTTGAATAGATGGAGAATTCACACCATCGACGTAACCTATCCGCGGCAGGAGTTGTGTGTGAAGCAACAACAGCACAGGCTTACCATTTTTCCCCGGTCCCCTTGATACTTGCCTATTCACTTAATGTCATCTCCGTTTGTTCCTAAGATTCCATTTCGTTGTGAAGGTTGCAGAGCGGTATGACAGACCCATGGTGAGAATTTACTGCAAGCATAACTGAGCATCATCATACATTATATTCAGTATCAGTTTGCGTTGAAGATAAGAAAATTGGTGTTAAGTCGTGCAAGTAGCTATCATGTCATTCTCAGCATCGTCGACGTTTGCTCGATCAGAGGAGCTGCCTTCCCTCGCCCGTGAAGTGGTAGAACTCTTGCGGGAAGGCGATGTGGAGCAGTATGTAAGGAATGTTGCCACAACGACGAGTTCCAGAGGAGCTGGAACGACGAGTCCAGGACAACGTGGAAAGTCAAAGCCCGGACCCCGACTTTTAGGTGATCGCTATCGGCGTGACCCGAGCGACGCGCGGTTGTATACATACGAAGAAGTCTGTGCTTTTTATATCAGACAAAAGCCAGATGTCACTGAAGCCGAATTGCTAGGCTATTGGGAGCAGGGGATGCTACACGAAGCGGCCAACTCGGATCACGAAGATCTTCGAGAAGTTTGTGGTGCTGGAAGTACAAGAACTTCAAGTAGTTGTACCCGGATGCATGCGCGCGCTCTTTTAGCTTTTCTTGATTCTGTTGAATCAGAAAAGAGTCGAGAGTTAACTCTAGAAGCAGAGGAGTTAGATGAAGCAGATGCTGGTGGTACGAATGGAAAAAATCACGAGGAGCTACTGCTAGAAATCGTCCAAGCAATGTGTGACTGCGAAGAGACAACTCCTGAAGGCCCCGCAATAGCTGAGCGGTTGGTCCAGGAAATCGAACAGCTGCATGAGGAAGAACTTCTACAGCTGCAGCGAGCACCTCCACTAGGAAAAGACGATGCTGCTGAAGCTGCGGCGAGCGAGCATTGCCGCGGAGATGCTCCACCGCAGGCTTCCAAAACAACGAAAAATGTTGATCGCGAGCCAAGAAGTAGGAGTAGAACTCCATCGATGTCCCCCAGTTCTCGGGCAAAGCGACAAGGCAGCACTATTGCCTCCAGGGTATCATCATCTTCTAAAAAGTTAAAGTCGTTCTCAACATCTGTAGCGCAAGGCGAAGAAGATGAGGGAAGTACTAGACGAAGCTTCGTATTTTTTGCAGACCAAAGGGAGAAGAATGTCCAAGCGATGGGGCGCTCCTTGTCCACGGGAGCTTCCAGCAGGGGAGCTGATATGAGCTCGTCCGAAGATAGCGACGTTCGGTCTTTGCTGCCACCTCCACCGAATGAGCATCACAATTTGGATTCCGCAGCTCAAAATCGAGGAAGCAACCTGGACTCTGCAGGAACAGCTCAAAAATCTAAACAAAGTTGTCAGAGTTCTCTTCATCCGACCACGAGGACGTACATGTATAAGACCGGCGAAGGGGAGGAGGACGATGTAGTTGCGTCCAAAGATGAAACACAAGAAGATGCAAATGCTATTAGTGGCAATAGAGAAAGTGATCGACACTCGGAGATTCCTTCTGAGGCTGCTGACACCAGTGAAAATACTGCCGCGGCCGCGTTACCTCCGAGTCCTACTGGCAGGCTCCGGTCTAGTCTTCGTCGAGATGGTGCCTCGAAAACGGGAACCACTGGGCGACGTCTAAGCTTCAGTACGGACACAACTACGGGTGATGCTAGTGCGAAGCAGGAGGACGAAAACTTAGATGAAAGAAAAGCCGCAAAGGATGTCGAACAGGAAGCGGCGAACACAGATGCGCCTGTGGTTGTCCCGCAACAGCTATCAATAGCTGAAATTGATGCGTCTATCGATGCAGAGGAAGAGGTGGACGCCGCTGCTAATGGAGACGATGCTGTAGTCAGCGGCGCGCAAGTAAAGGCTGCCTCGTCTAGCACACTAGACGTGGAAACTGATGACAATACAGACGGTAGCGCTGAAAGTGGAGCAGACGACAGTGCAGCCCTCATGAAAGCGCATGACTCCTTAGATCAAATTAATGATCGGTCTGCTACTGATGCCGCAGCTTCGAGTTCGGTGCACGATCGCGTCTTAGACCAGCTCCAGCGAAAAAGCGTAAGTGCCGACGCCATCAGCGTTCAGCCGCTTTCGGCGAAAACAGGAAACGCAACAGCAGCGGCAGCTGTAGGGGGCGATAGTAGTCAAGAGGGTGTGGTCAACCTCACTGCAGGTGCAGCATCCGCAAATCGCGCATCCGGGATCGTCGTCGGCGAAGTTTTGCATGCGGAGCATACTGATGGCTTAGCTCGCCGGTCATCCTTGGGAGGACAACAAACGCGAAAATCGACTCGGGCTTCAACCACAAGAACCTCTGGCGTGGCGAACAATGATCCGAGAGGCGCGTTTGCCTCAATGCTGGCGGAGCGCAACGGGAAGCCATTGCCCGCGGGAAGACAAAGCTGGAACTCCAACACGAAGGGAAACTCTCTGGCCCCGGACCAGGATGCGGGCGACGCCTTGGACACGAAGCGGCGAAACTGGTCGCAAGTTCGGGATGTAATTAAGCTGAAGAATTTCACGCGCAGTCTCTTACTGAAAAAGAAGAGAGGAGCGCAAAACGGCGATCAAGGCAATACTACAGGAGATGGAAGAACAAGTCCCTCATCTTTGGCTACGCCCAGCGGGACGAGGAGAAATCGCGTGTCTATTTCCCCTGACGCTCTCGGTGGCGCGGGGGCTGGGGATGAAGAGGAAGATCATGAGGGCGCGGTTGGAGCTTTGGTGGGCCTGCACGCCGGGGACTTTGTTGATCACCACTCCGAGAACGTTCCGAGGATCGAACCCCCGGTTCTGCTGCCACTGAAGATATGCGTAGCCCGCAGCGTTGTCGATGCGAACGAGGAGGAAAGTTGGGATAGCGGTAGCCAAAGTCCGGACGCGAAGAGTGATACCGCGACAGAGCCTCTCTCATCACCTGTGGCTCGACCCACGGGCATTTTGCGCCGTCAACGGATTACAGAAGGACCGGACGATGGGCCTCCCGGTGGAGGGTTGCTAGAAGGCGGAGGCGCTCTCGGAGGAGCAGGCAGTGGCTTCCTGGGTCGAAAATCCACTGCACCCGCCGGGCGCAACGGCGTTTCTGTGGTGAGCCAAGGTTCACGGAGCGTCTCCGGATCCCGTGGCCGTGCAGAGCAGAATAAAAAGAGCACTGTTGTGAATGCCTCAGGTCGGCGCACAAAGTTGTCGATGAAGAAACGTGGCACGCGTTTTATTGAGCCACTAGATGCCGCGCAGGCGCAGCGATCCCTGCTGCAGACGGTATTGCCGCCAGACTTCGACGTGTTGTACGAGACTTGTGAACCCATGCTGCGCAAGTGTGTGCAGGACTTGGCCAAGACCATGTATGTCGCTCTCTTAGCGTCGCGGTCCTTTGACTGCGACCGAGATGAAACCCAGCAACTGCAGGAACTTTTTCACCAAGCATTGCGGTGGTCTTCACGCGTCGAGGCGGAAGGCGGCGCTAATGACGCAGACTTCGGGGATGAGGATAAGCGTATGGAGGAGCTTCGAGCGAATAACCCTGGCCGTGTAACGATGTTCAAGCCAGCTGTAGTGGGTCGCGGCGGAACCGGAAAAAAGTTCGGCGATAACAAAAACATCCGCCAGACGACAACGGGAGAGCCTGCACCACTGAAGACGGTCCTGCTGACGCAAGTCGGCACACTCTTTGTGGGAAGTTTCTTGAAGTGCTTCTACCTGCAGGAAAGCGTTTCTTCCTCAATGAAGCGTAGATGGCAACTTGCCCGCGAAGTGATCACTGATGAGCAGATCAAAGCGCTCACGACACCGCCGTCCCGAGCACTCGTCGTTCAAGGTCGGGCTTCCGTGAAGTTGGAAGAGGCAGGGGGTTTGGGTGGTGGGGGACAAGACTCAGCGGCAGAAGCAGGCCCTTCTGACCATGACCTGGGCGACGCCACGCGGGTGGGCCCCGGACTGTTGCACCAACATACAACGGCCGGCCCAGTGAACACGGGAACTGCGGCGTCGGGCGCAGGAAGCCTTGCCAGTCGACACTTTCTGCGGCTCTCACCGAGTGTGATCGACCGGAACGTGGAGCGCGCGGAGTTTACTCTCGGCAAAGCTGCACGCAACGAGCCGGAGAACACGGTCGTGCAATTGGGACAGCGCGCGACGATGGAGGCTGGCGGCGCGGCGTCGTTTCTTCGCGAGAACCGGGTCTCCGTGTTCCGGAAGTTGAGGCGCACTCTGCGCGTCGCTTTGCTCAAGTGCGGTAGCAGCATCCACGAGCTTTCACACGAAGACTTGGACTATCCGCTTCGCAAAATCTCGGAGATCCTCGGGGAATGCGAGCAGCGTGCGGTCGATGCGGTGGGACCACCAAAAAGGCTTGACGGTAAAACCGCGTATCTGGTGCGCGAGTTTCAACTCAGGTACGGACAGCGCATGGCACGCGTGCTCGATATTGAGGCAGCCTTGTACGACCTCTTTGGACAGAATTACTCCCTCAACCTGCACGCCTTCGATGTTTTACACCGCAAGTCCAAAGCCCCGGGGCTTTCGGGAGGCGCTACGGGAGTAGCCGCGGGGGTGACGAGATCTTTGACCGCATTCGGCGCAAGCGCGCGCAAAGCGGCGTCGACGTATGGACCTGCGGGCCTCGGTGCCTTTGCGAGTTCGTCAGCGCGTCTAAAGAAGAGCGTGGCTGCGCCGGGTGGTTCTGCATCCGGAGCTCGCGGGGAGCGCGTTGGAGCGCGCGATACTTTTGCGGGATTTATGGAGCAGCAAGACTTTGCGCAGGCGGCAAAAGAAGGCGGCAGCAGTGTGGATGAGAACGATGAATCCACGTGGCCACGCGACCCCCACTATGATGCGCACGAGTCCCCGGACGCGGATGCATGGTCGCTGGAGCACAACATGGTCTACATTTTGGACCGCTGCGGTCGCGATAACTTCGCCCGCTGCTACGAGTACCTCTGCACGCTGGCCCAGCGAGTGGGCGAATTCCATTCCCTCTATGTGACCAAGGTGGTGCGACAAAAGCTGCACCCGCCCAGGGACCTGACAGACCACATTTTCTCGATCGAGGTTTCGCCGAGCGGGCTCGCTTTCGGAGAGGCGCACGCTGACAACTTGAAGAAATTCTTCTCCGACCTGCTCTACAGACTTCTAGATCACTTCGGGATCGTCAAAGTTCCGGGAGATCCGCAGAAGAAGGATCCGCTCGAAGCGCGTTCGATTGAGGAACTGATCGAGGAGGGCGGCCTCAGTGCACCGTCTGGTGCGGTGGCGCAGAACAAGGAGCAAGGCGGCACGCATCCCTCGGGCTCCCCAAGTTCGCCGCACATTCCGACTCGCGTGCTGGGGTCGGCGTCGCTGATGAACAACAACGCCGACTTGAACGCCTCTCTGTCGACGATGGACCTGATGACGCGGCTGATGACGGTGATGCGCAACGCGGGCACGTCGAAGCGGGAGAACGAGTGGCGCGGTCGGATGCGCGGCTCTGCGGGTCACTTCTACCTGCAGCACTTGCTCTCGCGTTTTCATTCCTTCTCGGAGCTCGTTGGCGAAGACTTGGATTTGCACTCAGACTTGATCACGAGTATCTGTGAGCACAATTGTGCGCTTCAGCGGAACCGCCTTGCCCAGCATGAGGAAGAAGTCGGCGCCGCGCAAAAAGCATCGCCCAACGAGGCACTTGCCGCGGTTTCGGCCTACAAGCTTCCGGACAGTGAGCTAGCAGACAGTGTAGCCCTGATTTTGAATCACGGCGTGCATCTATTAAGGCTCTCGATAATTCATTTTCAAAGCTAAAATTGAGTTTCGATTTTCCTAGTAGGAAAAGAGCGTAACAGTAGCGTGAACAAAATGAATCATCGACAGCTCTAAACTATGGCTACGTGCTTCCAGAGTGGAACACGCCGTGCTGGAATCGGGGACGGGCACCGTGCCTCTACGTCGTCGCTCCCGACGAGAAGACGGGGACATGCGGATTTGAGCACGAGGCGGGCTTGCAGCACACCTTGTGGAACAAGCAGCTGCCCAATGGAACCGAGGCGCTTAACGCGCAAGCCCACGAGCAAGCGATCTTGAAGCACATTCACAAGCTTGTGTTCGGACCGGGGGCTTCCGGGGAATACTCCTCCTCTTCCGATGAAGAGATCGCCGACGGTATCAACGACTCGGTGAGTACCTTCGGCCGAGCAAGTGCCGCCTCCTCGCGCAGACTGAGTAACTTGAAATGGGTTGGCTCTCGTGCGAGTGTGGACTCCCTCGGGAAGCTGGACTTCGTGTTTAACGGAAACAGCGAAGATGTGAGGAATAGCCCTGAACTGGTGGCGATGCGCCGCTCTCTGGCTCGCGTGGCACGCGCTGCGTCATCGGAAGACGATACCTTCAACAGCATGTTGGGAGGAGGTCTTGCATCCCTCAGGGGCGCAGACCTCGCGAACGCCGAGAGCGGCAAGGAGTTCCGGTTCTCGAAAATGCACCGTGCAGCTTTGATGCTGGCGACGACAACGTCCGTACTGGAGCGCGTGTTTCCGGTGTTCCAGCTTCACAAGCCCCGTTCCATCGAGCCTAAGCTGACACTGCCGCGGTATGAGTACTGGATCGACGGTTGGGGCGGTGCGGGTCACGGCGACCTTAATGCAGCCACGTCCTTTTTGTCAATGCACAAGGAGATCAGCGGGCTTGCGGCTGGGCGGGCTCCGGAACACGAAGCGGGCTCGGCTAATCTGTTGTATACGACGGGCCGGTTTGCCACCAAGCAGCAGATTTTCTGTTACATCATGCTGCTGTTGCAGGACATGGAGCGTGACCGACATTCGCACTGTGCTGCGGTTCAAAACCTCCTCCGAGGTTACGCGTTGCAGGTCTTTCCGGCGGCGTTGTCACATGCTTCTGCGGCTGAGGATGCGAACGGAGGAGATGTCCCGTCCTCTAGCGCCTCTTCACCATTTTCGTCCAAGAGCGGTGGAAAGACTACATCTTCACATAAAAAGTCTTCGGACATGCGAGATCGCATCCTGAAGTTCCTCATTCAGCAGACGTTGCACGTGAGCGATCAGCTGCGTGACAAGATCTTAGCGAAGGTTGTGTACAGTGTGGTTCGCAATCTCGAACAACTCGTAGAAGAGACAGGCTTTCCGCTCTACTATGATGCCGATGCCGACCAGCAAAAGGCAGTAGACTTGGATGTGAAACTGCAAGTGGGAGGTGCTAGTGGTAACGGCGCAGGTGGAAGTAGTAAAAAAACGCCCCAGGTCCAAGGTATTCACGTATGGTCCTCAGTGGACGACCTGTCCGAGGGCGATTTCCACAGTGCTTCTGCTTTTCTAACTGACGCTAAAAGCGCCGCAGAGGCGAAGGCGCGCTCAGAGGCGTCCGAGAAGTCCCTACAGGCTGCGCGCAAGACGAATCGGGGAGGACTCATTGGTGATGCGATGAAGCGGCGTCAGAGTACTGCGCCGGGCGTTGGTGCTGTAGCTTCTCCAGCTGCTGCCGACGCGCCAATGACCCCGTCTGCGATGGCGCGGCACAGCAGTGCCCCATCTGCGTCGGGGCAAAGCTTCCGCGGAAAGAGCACAATCAACCCTGCTTTGGCGAGCCCCAACGAGAAGCACGCATCCGAAGAAAACATTTGGACGCCCGTCGGGCCGCCGAGTGGCGGCGGGGAGGAGACGCGCCGCATGAAATTGAACAACAAGCAAGCTTTCGTGCTGCAAGAGGCCACATCTGTGTGGCACCCTTTCTCGTTGATGCTGCCGCACGAACAGGTGAAGCCGACCTTCGAGGTGGTCGAGTCGGTTTCACTTGCGACGACGGGTGTGCACCCCGATGACGAACCGGAGGAATCCGCGGATCCGCAGCAGCACTCGCCAACGGAGGCGCGGGTGGGCCGTCTCTTCTCTCGCAAGAGCCTTGCGGAAGGTGCGACCATGGGCCAAAAAAGTACGATGCCCGCTGCAATGATGTCCGGGGGTTTGAAGACGCACCGCAGGCACAACCGGCTGCGTGCGCGTGCGGAGAAGTCTTGGAGCTACATGCAGCAGCGCGACTTCCGCCGGCGCCTAGACACAGTGCACCACATGCTTCGCGAATGCTTTCTGGCCTCGGCTTCCACCGACACAATCAACTACTTTGCGGTGTTCTTAGTGCTCGCCACGCTATTCAAACAGCGGCTGCGTTCGGTTGATCGCCGGTTGCGCTCGCAGGTCACGGCGCTTGTGAAGCACTTGCTGGACAGTCTGAACTTTCCAACCGACATTTTCGGCGCCGCCGGCGGTGTCGGCAGCGTTTCTCCCTCAGCAGGGCGCGCAAGCTCGGCGTCCATGCCGTCATCGCACCACTTTCCTTACTACGGTGACGTGTACGAGTTTGGCACTTCGCGAAGAATCATGCGACTGCCTGTGGATCCCCACAGTCACCTAGATGCTGCCGTACCTCTGGAGGAAGCTGAGGAGGCCAAGAAGGACGCCGAGGAGGCCAAAATAGCGCTAGCTCGACAGATCCTCAGTGATACGTGGACACAGATCACGCACGTACGCTTTCACGATGACCGCGCGCGAAGGACGGAAATTTTCCTTCAAGCACTCACTACTGCCGTGGAGCTGTTGCCGGTAATCTCAGAAGCTTCTACAATCAACGCCTCCGTCGCTGAAAAAATGGCAACCAGTGCGTCAAATGATGGCGTGGACGAGAACGGAGATCCGCAGAGGTCTTCATTCGGCTCAACTGTAGGTGCCGGTCGTGTAACACGAAATCGGGCCTCCTTTGCAGTTGGTGGAGGAAACACCCAAACAGCAGTCTCGCAGACTGGAATAGTTGATTTACCGATACTGGGTACGACCGTGCTAACTACTGCACTTGTACCCGAAGTGTCTTCTTCAGTCGGCGCTTCGACCAGTGATGGAGCACCTCCGTCCACCTCAACAGCTGATCCATCTTCAACAGCGGGTGGAATGCAGGCTAGACCTTTATGGGCGTTCAAACCTGGAACGCATGGACGGCGCGAGCTCTTCCTGCCCGACGTGCGCAAGTCTGCTGCCCAGTTGGAAGCGCAGACCGTGCGCCGCTGTCAGCCTGGTTTGGCACAGACCGCGCTGGCCGAGGATCGCGAGGTGACCTTCTTCTGTCGGGACTCGCTCGTGGCGAACCTGTTGAAGCTGGGGCAGTACCATTTGCAAACGGTGTGCGACAGTTTTCTGCTGTTCTTCGTGGATGTGGAGTCTGTTCTGATGTCGCTCCTGGAACAACGTGCGGCTGCAGATGCGTCGCAGGTGCAACAACGATCAGTGGACATCGCTGCGGACGACGCGCTGAAAAAATTTCCTGCGGCACAATTTCGCCAAGAGATGCATCTCACTGTGCTGCAGCTGATCCGGGAACTAGCTGCTTACTACAGTATAGACCAAGTGACAGAGTGGCGCCGTAAGCTGGAATGTGTGCTCGGACTCGCTGGCCAAGCCAGTTTGACCCTCAGCGAGGAGCAGCATGCGGCAACGCTGTCCAACCAACAGGGAAGCACACCAGCAGGTCGAGCAATGGGGACATCGAATAGTATTCAGGTGGGTGGATTCAAAGTGTCTGTTGTACCACCAGGAGGTGCAGCAATCTCGCAAGCGGAATCTAGCAAAAAGAATACAACACGTGGCATCAACAAAAAGACGAAGGACGCTGACAAGAGCAGCAAGTGTCTCTATGGTGCAGTTGCCTCGCCGAGCGGCGATCAGATGATGGCGGAAGTTGTGAAGTACCTGCACGAAAACAATGAGGATGCAGCTAAGAAAGCCATGGTTGCCTACGCGGATTCGGAGGCGGCACATTTGGTTACAGCTCCCATGGACTACACCGTTCCAGTGGACCCCCTGGTCAGCTGCAAGGTCTTCGCGGAGACGCTTTGTCACGCGCTCCACTTGAATCAACCCGGGGCTAGGGCCGGTCCGACCACCGTTGTCTCGGCGGATCCTAACAATCCGGACAATGAGGATCGTCTGGCCACGGTAGGGTCTCCCACTCCGGGAGCGAGTCCAGCAAGAGAAAGCGGGGGTGGCAAGAAGAACGCGGTTGCGTCTCCTGGGCGACAGACTGTTAGCGTGGCTGGTGCTGCAGTGGGACAACTGCAAGCGGCGTCAGCTCTATCCGGCGAAAGACTGGCGAACCGCTATCTGACGATTCCGAAGCTTGGTGGCTATTTGCCGACCAAGCTCGCACTCCTGCGATCTGGTGTGTCTCTCCAAACTTTAAGCGCTTTTGCGTGCGAAATGCTGCCGCGAATGATTCGCCGCGTTGCCCCGCTCACGGGACCGGGAGGCTTGCAGCAGCTGGCCTTCGGCGAGACGGTGCAGCCGCCGCCTGGTGCAGTCTCAAATATTGCGGCGCTGTTGGCTAATACGGGTCTCAGTGCGCCGGCGACCGCACTACCGCAAGTGGCGAAGCAGCTTAGCATGATCACCGCGGCATCTGGCACAGGCGGTGCGGCCGCAGCTAATGTTGCAGCTTTCCAAAAACCGAAGGATGTTGTGGAAAGTGCACAGGGAACTTCATCTGCAGCCTCATCATCGAAAAAGAAGGATGCTGGTGGCGCACAAGGAACTACGAAAAATGCAGTGCTCACAGTTCGTGTGGCTGAAATGAAAAATTGCAATCGCGTGACGCCAGCCACCGTCGAGCTAATGCATCGCGTACAGGATGCTTGCGTCCTGCAGCTGCACGACCGCTTGCACTGGCTGAATCGCGCACAGGCTATCCGCAACTGCGACCCTTACAGCGAGCAGATCGAGCGCATGGTGCGTCGTATCTTGCGCGTCACGGGAAACTTCCAGTTTCCCGAGGCAGAGGACTGGCTCCTGGGCGCGGAGGCCGCAGCCGCGTTCCGACGGGAAAGGGATCGCGGTGCGAGTTCCTCAAGCAGCGCTTCCGCCAGCGAGGAAGAAGAGCAAAACGAGCTCGCGGAAGGATTCATCTCGGGGGGAGAAGAGGGAACCGAAAACGCCTTGCGGAGCAACTACAGTTACTTCGAGGACGAGCTCGGCATGGGTAGCGCAGTTAGGGCCAATGAGGAAGACGAGGATGCTGAAGGTTTCGTCAAAGAACATATGATAGGCCAAGAGGGTGGCCACCATCGCGTTAGCGCTTTGGCTGAGATGAACTTGTATATGTATGGTAGTGCTGACGGAGGCCCGTCGAGTGCTGCTGCTCGTAGGTCGAGACTTTCGAACCACGAGTTGTCTTCAACCTCCGGGACCACGAGTGGTGGAGGCGCCACGACACAGGAGGACACCACGACGGGCGGGGATAGCACCACCGACGACGCAGCTAGAGTTGCTGCAAAGATGCAGCGCAAGCGCAAGGGCCACAAGAAACGTCGGCGGCCCACAGAGAGCGACTTCGAACAGGTTTTGGTCTGGTGCTCGCGGGAATTACTGAAGAGCTATGGGCGCTGTCCGAATCTTGGTAACGTCGCTCTTTTTTCCTTGTGTCTCAACTTGAGAGAGGCGCTGGAACACTCCTTGTGGAAGGGCTCGCTCTTTGCCGGTTGCTCGCTGGGCTCAGAGACACTGAAGGCGGCTGAACGCGCTTTCGACCCGAAGTTTGTCGACCCTGTGGAAGAACTTCGAGCTCGCGGTGAGGTTGCGTATTGGCGCCGACGCAGACATGTTTTGACACTCGCAAAACAGTGGTGCAGCATTTTACTCGCGGAAATTGCGGAAGACTACAACGCTTTTTACGGTCTGCCGAAGCACCAGGAGCTTTTTTCCGCGGTCTTCTCTTCGCACTACCTCCCGGTCGAAGCGACCGCGCACATGTGCCATCTGATTCTCCAACCGGAAGCGCACCTCATCAGCGACGAGTGGTTCCTCCGGGTCTCGCGCCTGGCCTACTGCAGGTTCCGTGACCACAAGAAGGAAGCGGAAAACCAGAATGGAAATACATCTTTGATCAATAGGAGCACGGGCGACGACAAAAATGAAGATGGCATCCTGGGAGAACTCGACGCGGCCTTCAAATTCCTCGGTGGAGAGAATAAGAGAGGTGCTGAGGCGGGACCCGCAACAGCGAAGCAAGACGGTGGCAAGCGCGTACAGATGTGCAAACCAGAAGCCGACGAGTTTGAACTGGACGAGCCGGACGACGACGCGCATGGTAAGAGCCGCGCTTCTCATCTCAGTCGAAACAAACGAGCCTTTCGGAATCGTGCTTTTGCGTCTGCAGAGGCATGCATCGGTGAAGAGACCAATGATGCTTGTGATGTCAATGCTGTCACTCGTGCAGGACTTGTTCCGGCTGCTAGTACTTCGAGCATTTTCGGAGACCTAAATCTTCCCTACATCGCCAGCGAGGTGGACGACTTAGTGATGGCGCTCGGGCTTCCCGCGGCCATCGACTCGCAGGTGAAATCGCGGATGCTCGCCTACCTCACCGCTGCGCTTCTCGCAACGAAAAACGAGTCGCGTCCGGCTTTTTCGAAAACCTGCTTGAGTTCGGATCTGATGGCAGGCGGACGCAAGAACAAAGAGGGCAGCTGGAAGCCATGTGTTCCCAGTTGTGCAGTGATTCGTGCAACGGAAGTGTTGCTGTCTGTCGACGTGCATGTCTTCCCGTACCTGACTGAAGGCTACGTCAATATCGCTTTACGGGAACTGCGCATGGCAAGACAGCGATCCCTGCAGCGCAACGATTTTCTGAAGAGATTGAATAAGCAGGTACGAGCACAGCCATTTTTCTATCCTGATGACGAAAATGAGGACGACGAGGTGCGAGGATGGGACGACCACAAAAGTTGTGTGAACAGACAAAGTCACAGAAGCACAGAAGCCGGCGCAAAGGGTTGGAACAAGGCCTCTCTCGTGACAGACAACGTAGAACATGCGAGTCGCTATCTCGTGCTAGAAGACTGCAGTGAACAAGAAGTTGTAGAGGGCGAGTGCCAAGTTGAAGAGCACTTGTTAAACGCACCATGGTCTTCGCAAAGTGGAAATAAAGGCATCTCCGATCACGAGAGAAAGCAACGAGCACGCGAGCACTGGCTCAATGCATTGTCGAAAGTGTGGATCATGCAAACGGAAGCCAAGAAGGTGAACATGGATCCCTGCGTGCTTGAGGACATCGTTGAAGCCTGGAATACGGAGTGGAGTGAGGTTCCTTCGCATTCTCAGGATTCATCTTCCAATCATAGGCCCTCAGTCAATAGGACCGCAGCTGCTGAGAGGAGGTATGGATTTTTGTACTACGGAGAGGAGGGGACGAACGATGGCAGCGTCATCGATGTCGAGGAGCTTGCCGATACGGACGAGGGTGCTGTAGGGGTGAGAGTAAGCGAACAAGTAGTCCGTGATCGTGCGGTGGTGCCTGCGCCAACTCGAACCAGTGCTTTGCGATCCAATTTGCGTGCCTCACAGAATGGCCGCAAGAGCGAGGTACTCTTGGAAGCGATGAAGAAGAACTTCTTTGACTCGCAGCATCATGCCGAGGACCCTGATACGTCGGACAACGATATTGCAGCCCGCGCTAAGAACGACAACGGCCCGAACGACGAAAATTCTGGTACTGCAGTGGATCCGCCTAACACCAGTGCGGCAGGCAGTAGTGCAACAGGTGGGCCAGAAGCGTCAACGACCCCAGCAGCACCAGCACCTGCATCATCTTCGTCCTCAAGACCATCAGCAGTAACGCATGTATCCAGTGTCCTTGGCCGGCCAAAGAGGAGCTCTGCAGTAGTTGGTCCAACTTCTGCTGCTCCCGCAGTAGGAGGAGGTGAAGGGGGGATTGTAGAAAATCGGACACTACCAGGGGACCCGGTATTAGCAGGAGCCCCAACGGTTTTTGCACCAAGAACACCAGTCGAAGATCTCAAGACGGGGCCGCCAAGCGGCAGCAGCGCGATGCCGCTGTCTCCCCGGGCTTTGGCGATGAACGGCGGTTACCTGGGTAGCGCGATGCTGGCCTCCGTTCTCAATAAAGACAAGGACGTGGACTACAACGAAATCGCGCAAGCACTAGGGATCTCCGAGACCGCGGACGAGGGAAATCGCAAGGAAGCCGTCAATCTGGCGTTGATGCAGGCACTCGAGAGCACCGGCATCAGTCCGGAAGGCGTTACAATTACGGCCGGCAATGGTCGCCGCCCACGAGAGGCAGCAGGGGAGGCGTCAGCAAGTAGCGCTGCAGCTCGTGTGACCCCTGCTCCAACGATGGCATCGACTTCGGCTCTGTTGAGCCAGCAGCTGCACGAAGCGCAACTCTACGTGCAGAAGATCCAGCAATTCGAAGCATTGCGACAACAATTGACGGAACTGAGAGCCTCAGGCGAACAATTGCAGGGTACAGCAACTATAGGCACCGCTGTGTCAACATCAAACGAAGCTACGAGTCCCGCCGCGAGGCAGATTCAGGCACAAATGACTAAACTAAACACGAAGATTGTATCGAAGGATGCTCCCGCATCGTCGTCGAATCCCCAGGATGGGACCCCCGCTTCGCTCTTGGGCTTCCACGGAAAGGCAGTCGCCGAGGAGATCGCGCACCTCACGGATAGGACATCGAACTTGCAGCAGTTAGACGACGACCTGCGGGAGGGACAGTACAGTCCTGAAGACGCATACAAAAATGTGGTTGCGAACAAGATTCTAGAGGACCGAGACCGCGTGGCCAAGCTGCTGCTTCAGGCCCGTGACGTTTTTGGGCAAACCGAGCGGGAGAGCCTTTATGCCAAAAGTGTGGTGGAGCGCCTGCGGCTCACGAAAACGCTGATGGAAGAGTTCGATGAGACACAGGAATTACACCATCCCGGAAACTTGCAGTCGATTTGCGCGGCTCTGCAGACGACGCTTGAAGACTACGACGGGCTCTCGGGGAGTGTAGACCGTGTCGGGAGGCAAGCGCTAAGCAAACTTCACGAGAACATGAAGAAGGCCTTGCAAAACGAGGCGGTGCACATGGCCATGATGGAGGCGCGGCAACTGCGGGACCAACAGCAGGCGCTGCAGGCACGCAGTCAGCAAACCAAGCTGAAGACACTGGCGGAACAAGCGAGGGAAGCACAAATGCGCTATTTGACTTGCAAAACCGCCTGGAAGCAGATGGCGAGAATGCACACGGATGCGCAGCGCGACAAAGGTGAAAGGAACAAAAACTCTGGTGAAGCAACGCTCTTCAGGTAGAAAGGAAGATTACAGGATTCTTGAAACAGAAAAAAGAGGAACTTTGAAATACAAACACTTCTTGTTCTGGGTGCATGATAGATTAGGTAACTCATCAAATCTGAAAAGTCAACATGAGCAATAGGTAGCTACATGATCACCATCATACGAATATTGACATCATTACTACTTCTACAACGGGCATACTTTTCTTAGTGCGCCAGTGAATTGGTTATGCGTACTATTATCATTGCATGAGAGCAAGGCAGATTACACCAAAATGTAAAAGGAGTTCATGAAAAATTATAGCATCACGCGCATATTAGAAACCACAAATCGAAAAGGGAACTACTAATTGCATGATGAAGAATCGAAATCGAAATCGATCGACAGGAAAATATAAATATCTAAATTCTAATCAGCACATGGGAACATGAACATTGCATTTTTCTTACGCTTAAACGTTAAAGTCACATGGGAAGACATCAAGCATGCTCACACACGTACAGCAAACTCTCTTGAACAATTCGTAGAATACATATTGAACCTCGGAAAAATAGAACTCCACACCTCCTCGCGGAGTTGCAGGGAAGGATTTTGCTCTACAAGTGGGTGTACGATTATTGTCGGTGACGGCCGACCTTCGCACAAGGAGGCTGCATGACATGGTCGATGAGTTGAGAAAAGAACATGACGATGAGAGCAAGAAAGAAAAGCTGCAAAGGCGGATCTTCGTTTCCCGTGGCGCGTCGTGCTTTTGCCAAGCAAGGGGTTCTAGTCTGTTCTATCTGCTCCAGAAGTCCTATCTGTATCTTGTTTTAGTGCGCAATGATGATTCAAGGCCAGTTGATGATGCCTCAGCCAGTGCACCGTTGCAAAGTCAGTTGCTGAAGGTCTTTGTGCGGAATGTGTCGATGTTGGGAACATGCTTGCTATACTGTAGCAGCTTCGTCCACTGTTGTTTGCGCGCGACCATTTTAGGTCTTCGTTCCAATTTTGATGAGAGCGACTTTTAGGTCTGCTCGAGCACAAAATAGTCTTCGGTCTTTCTCATTTTCTCCAACTAGTCATTATCGACATCGTGCGTTTGCCGCTTTGCGTCCGGCGTGCTACTCAGGGGATAAAAAGTGATACACTTCCTTCACAAGTTCTAATTATAATTGTCCGAGACCACTGAGTCTGAGAACAGAAGGATCGAGAAGATCATAGAAAGAGGGAGACACGTGATAGACTGTAATACCTTGCTAGTGAGATTTTTAGTGATGGAAGCACTTCGAGTGATGGAAAGATCGTGGTCAGGTTCGTGAGAATAAGACTAATGTGGAATTACTTTTAGAGTAGATGGAGCGCAATGCCCGATATCAACAACAAAAGGTTGCACTCTTATTTGCAGTGTTGTATCCTCTTAAGTGTTCTACAATTGAGGTTGGCCGTAGTTTCTTTTCTAATCGTGTGAAAATTCGATTGCAAAAATGTTTGTGGTGGAAAACTGAGCTGAAGAGAGAGAGAGAGTGACGTGATAACCACATCAAGATGCGCAACGAAAATAAATTACCGCAAAACGGAGCAAGTAAAAAGCAATATTTATGTGGTGATCGAAAACAAAAGCATTAGCACTCTCGATTTTGTGAAATATTCGCAGGACTCTTTGACCGATATTTCGATACCATTCACATTGCTACCTTTTCTCGTGTTTCTTTTGCTCTGTTTGCAGATAGAGGTACTCCTCCTTTTTAGTTCGTTCTTCCTATTCCCATTCATTATTTGCAAAAACGATCTCCCTGTTTGTGGCGATAATTGTGCTGGCGCTAGCACGATTCGAATATATGTCCAACATAGGTTTTAGTTTCATTTCGTTGGTTTCGTTGAAATGCCTGTGAGCGGTGCATAGATATTTGAAAGTATCTCTTGAGTTCTCTCGTACTAGTATCGGCTAGTGGTTCATCAAGATCGATGTTTCGAAGTCGTCGCAGTAGTTTCCTTGCTCGTTTTTAGGATCGAAGCACGTAACAAGACAAAAAGACTGTCCCATGAGGTAGGATCACTAGGTCTTCGAGGTAATGTGGAAATTTTTACCAAGTACGTGGAGAGGCAAGACAGGTAGTTCTGCCCAGATGTAGGCTACTTACTATGCCTCATCTGAGGACCGCTCTTTAACGAAGTACTTATCATAAGAACAAGAAGTCTCTGTAGTACATGCAGGACACAGAGGAACTATGAGAGGCCCCGCACGACCATCAACTGACAGTGCTGAGCCCTGTTGTGTGGTCGTTTTTCTGAGGAGGACAGCGAGGTAACGAGAGTCGTCGATGCGGCGTGCGGCGCGATTTTTCGCAGTTGCACAGGGTGCAGCGCTCGGAAGCTTCCAAGATGGGGGTTCCGAATCGTCGACTTCCCGGAATCCCTCCGACCGTAGAGGGGCGAGGACAGACGAAGCTGCGTTGGCAGCGTCACTAGCTTCTGCACGTCTAGAAGATTCTAGTACGGTGCTCGCAGCTGGTCAACTGCCGAGGACCACGACATCATCGTCCTCGGGAAGACACTCTGCGGCAGAAGACAAGCGAGTGCTGAAAGACTCACTGATTAATGAGGATGCGACTCATCATCAAAGCGGCGACGAGGGGAAAGTGGAGAGGCGAGACGGAAGAGGAAACGCGTCTGGTGAAACACCGCGAGAGGCCCGTCTTCCGAAGGATCGCGGGAAGACACGAGGGGCATGGGAGCATGTCAGAGGAAATTCAGAGGAGTCGGCAATCCGCGCTGGAGATACCAGTGTGTCAAATATACGGGACAATGGTGAGAAATATCACTATCAAGATGGTGGAGTCGAGCTGGAGGAGAGCGGGCGAGAAAGCCTCGAGCGAGAACTCGTAGAAAAAGACCGAGTGGCGAGCACACTGCCGAATTTCCGCAAGTTTCATCATGTGCGCGACCCGGTGCTTCGCGTGAGTGGCGACCTGGACTCGCTGCCAGAGGGTCAACGCCGTGCGGTTGCGCGAATGCTGGCACGGAAGTTTCTGCAAGGGAGAGCGTTGCCGGAGGAGAGAGGAGGTAGAGGTGTAGACACCGGCGTCGGAGGAAAGCGCTCGCTGGGGTTTTCAGAGAGAAAAGATCAGGATGGATTGCCCAGACGATCCACAGAGATGAAGCGCGATGAAGAAGACTTGGTGCAGGGAGCGTCGGTGGAGGATTTTCTTACCCAGCTGCCACAGCAGCTAAGAGTGGAGGCCGCTGCTTCGGTGCATTACATGAGTGCCGCTGAGGGCAGACTTGACGAGGAGAGGCCAGAGTCCAGCAAAAGCGCAACAGGGCTACCGGAACGCAGCCACATGAAGGTGGAAGACAGGCGTGCGACGTCGACGGACGACGCAGAAGATTCGGACAACCTCGGACCCGTGTCCGAGATGGATGACTCTCTTGTCCCGTCTCTGCACAGTCCTCTCTTCCGGCAGACACTGCAAGCCATTTACGACGAGGAGCGTGAACAGCTCTACGCAAGTACGTCGGGAAGACAACTCTACAAAGATGAAGAATCGAGCGCCGCGTCAGGCTCAGACGCGTCTTCAAGCCGTCGTGTACTTGCCGCTCAGCCTAGTGGGTCGACCTGGGACTGGCTTCCGGGTAGCGGACAGTTGCCGACGTTCACGCAAGTGAACGGGCCCGACATTATTGGCGTGGAAACGCAGAAAGACATCTCGATTGTGGGTTACGCGAGCACCAACCTCTGGCTGCAGAACGAGATTATCGTGAACGTGCGTCCGCCGAACCGGTTTGGGTCGGGCGCTCACCCGGATCCGAAGATGAAGTTCGTCGATGGCGACATTTCCGCACGAGAGCAGTGTCAGGACGGACAGGGCCGCGATGTGCGAATGGGTGTGGTAGACCATGCCGGGACGATCAGTTTCGGCGTCTCGGGGCGGTATGCGAACCACACTAAGCTCTTCGATGCAGCGGTGGATCCGGCAGCGGAGGAGCGTGTCATCGGGAGCAACCAGCCATTCGCTTTCATGCACGGGGGTGCGTATAAGATTTGCTACGCGCCGGACGGAGATTTCGTTTCCCCCGCACCGCGCACGACCGCGTTGATTACCAGTCTGTGGCTCCCTTCTCCCATGCTCGTCTACGGTGTGCGCTCTGCGTGTCTGAACAGTCATGAGTGCATCAAGGACGAGCAGTGGCACTGCTGGTACGCAGGGCTGGATGACCAGAGTGGGGACTGCAGTTTTGCTTTCACGGGGACAAAAATCCGTGTTGGGTTCTCCCTCTTTTCGTCAACCGTATCGAAGATGACCTGGACAGGGCTCTACAGCGGCGAAGAGTACGACGACAACGGACTCGTGAATAAGACGGCCACTCCCAGTGAGTGCCGCAACGACGACCCAGCGAGCACGATTTTTAAGACCTTCCCCTCGACCTTCATCACCGTTGACAGCATCAACATCGCTACCATGCCGAAGTTGGCCCATGACCAAACTGGCGCGTTCACTGTTCGCGTCTGTTACTGCGGTGATTACGCTATGGGCGGAAACAAGTGCGACGCCAAGGAAGAATTCATCCAGGTCCTCTATCCTTTTTTTCAGACACCGTTCTACATAGATGCTTATTCGAGCATACAATCGATCCTTCGCATTTGTTGCACAAGATTGCTCTGGTAGAGGTGTACCTTCCGTTTCTTTTGACACCCTCAGGGGTACCGTCCGTTCTTTTGACGTTATTGCTGTTTTTTCATACAGGCCTTCGGACGCTTGTACATATGGCGGTTGAACATTTGTGACTATGCAAACGCGCTGACGCCGGAGTGCGTGAATGCGCCATACCTTCGAGTGGTTCCGCATCAGAAATTTTCGCTGCACATCACGTGTCCGATGGGGGGCGCATGTTTATTATGGGTCGTGGTTCTTCAATAGATGATTAAAACGTAAAAAAAGATGAAGTGAAATCAACTATAATGAAGAGCATCAATGTATTACTATGTATACGGAATCCATCATAAGATCAGGAACGGCTCTACCAGTAAAAAGAAGTCTTTTTTGATCGATGAAGATATCTAAGGTTAGCAAGCGGGGACAACCGGATCGGGATCATTCCGGCACAAAGCATCAACGACTTGATGTTTTGGGATGCGACCAGCGGCTGCATGGGTGCCTCTATTGACGCGCCGACCGTGCACTGGCCCGTGAAGAGCGACAGTCGCTCGGTGAGTGGCGGAGCGCGGCAAGACTACAAGCTGTGGCGAGACAAGCAGCCGCGGATCGATTTCGCTCCCGGACAGAAAATGGATGTCTGCTTTTGCCAGGAGAATTGTAACTAAGGCTCATTATTGATATTTGTTAACATAGAGAGAGCTGGTACTGGCTCGAAGATGTAAGTAGTTAACAACGTGCATTATTATTTCTCCGACACAGCGCAGACGCTTCATTTTTTTCCAAATTATAGCACGAGAAGTGAGTCAGGCATTTCTAAGTTAATACGCAGAGCAACATGAATTGGTGGAAGGTCGGGCACGTGGTCGGAGCGAACTTCGTTATGGCGCAGGCAGCAGGGGCAGATGGTAGTGCCAAGGCCACCATACACGTGGTCAGGTATATGGGAAAGCCTGGCGCTTTCGTGCTTCTGGGAGGCTCTAAGACCCAGTTTTACGTGCCAAATATCGTGCACGGTACTTCTGCCTTTTCTTGAAAAAGAAATAAATGGCTAAGAAAGAAGAATCATTTGAACATTGTCTTTGAGAGCTTGATACCTCATTCATCCACAGGCGCTACCAGTTCACAATTGGTTGACAAGATTTACTACCTTGGAATAGAAATAGAATGCTTCTCGCTCCTTATAGCAGATACATCCTAGTAAATATGCATGAGTCAAATTATATGTACCAGTTCTTTATATCCATCAACAACGATCATCAAAACTTCAGAGGATAATGTGAACGATTATGTGGCCTACGGGGATGGTCAGCGGTACAGCGGCGACGCTTTGCTGAAGATCTTCCCGTACGACTTCGGCAGCGTTCCAAGCAGCAGTCCTGCAACCACGTTTGAGAAGTTCTTACAGTACGACTTGAAGCACTTCGACCCGTCAGAAAAACAGGCGCAGTTGGACACAGTATGCAACGACCAGAATCAAGTTCCGAATGCCGTGGACACGACCTTGTTATGGCTACCACTCCTCATCTAAACAGCTACTAGGTACCTTTTATCGACGAAGCAATGCTAAGCATATTTTTAGGATTTCTTATGGATTTGTTGTGATGCAGTTGCATGCGGATGCTTATGAGGTTCGCAATACATAGGTCACATTGACATTTGTAGTATAAATCTAGATTTTATTTGAATTTTAGAGCTTCTAACTTTGATTGACCAGATCCAGAAGGTGAATGCTGGTGGCGATGACAATGCTGTGACAGCTTATCATGCCTTTATCAATGGGGATGCGAACCAGCTATCCACGATGAAACAGCCGGGAATTATTTTACGACGAAACTTCCTCGCAAGTAAGTGTGTGAACTCATTACTCGTAGTACTTACTAGCTTAGTACTCGTACTAGCTTAATAGTCGAGGAAAAATATTGTCTGGTGATGATTTCCTCGATCATGATGACATAATATAATCTACTTATGCTAGACGAGAACAGGCAAAGCGCAAGCCACTCCCGTCACGCACCCACTAGCAGTATGATTATAACGAGCTTGTTATGTACTCTCCAAGCGCTAATCTTGGGGTTGTGCTATTGTGCAATACTGACTGCAGACAAGGCCGCGTGCGATCCGCTTGCCCAGTGGCGTTTTGCCATGTTGCTCATGGTATCGGGTCCGATTCCTGCCCAAACATGGAGTTAAGCCTAAATATTCTAGATTTTCAATTACAAGCGTCTTTCATTTTTCATCACTAGAAAGATGAGAAAGTACTTAGATGAAATTATTAATGCGTTCGCGTCGTCTGATTCAGTAGCTTCAACTTGTAATCACCCACCGCACTGCATGTTGATGGACTGTTATTGGAACATTATTTTCGTGTAGTATAGAGTCTGCCACGACTTGTCTAATCTTGACTACCAACGGAAGCAGTGAGCCGAGTGATTCTGCAAGGAAGCGGCTTCGATGCGGGTGACGTACTGAGGATCGTGCCCAACAACGTTCTTTTTATGGCTCACCACGTCTTGAGTTTCAATGGTGTATCAAAACTACTTCATACTTGGGTTGTGAGAGTCTCCTCAGAAATTTGAGGCTATCGCCAGTAAAACCTTGCTTCCGATGGTTAACGTAGTATATGGACCTGTACGCTGGTGCAAACATACCTTGAACTTTATTCACAAGGTAGTTGAGTACTTAAGGTGGAGTATTGGAAGCAAAAGCAGCAAGATAGAAATGAAGCCCTTTGGTATTTTTCTTCTAATGAACGCACGGACAATTCGAACAATCCCGCTCCGGATTCTACGCACAAGATCGGGTGCCCCTCTGTCGAAGGCAGTGGCTGCATCACAGAGTCTGCGTGTCCTCTCATCTCCGGAATCAGTTGTCGGACTGCGTCCGCGTCAGACGGGGCACATGGTTCCTACATCTTCCTGCAAACCCTGGCCAAGAACCAAATATCGCCGCCAATCGGGATCGAGTCCGTTTCCACCCTTTTCAGTACTTCTACTTGTTACAAGTTTTTTTTTGTACTATCTAAATCAGAACTGCTCTCGTACTAGTTGTTATAAGACAAAAAGATTTCGATATCGATTTGGAGTTTATCTATCAATAGTCTAAGTAATTATTTGCGCTACTTGGTCGTTCGTTTCATCACTTTATACAAGACCCTTCTCGAAGTGAGTCGTGTGGCTTGTATTTGTTGTCGTAATGGATACTTTTCACAAAATTAATGAACATTTGTAACTTCATCGCTACAGGTACGAAAGAATACACGGTCCTGAAATTTACTGGGAACGTGCAATATTCCGGTTTGAAAGTTAAGAACAATGCTCTAGCTTTTTATAATATTGTGAGTGAACAACAGAGGGACATTGGCAGAGCAGTCAGTGCGATGAATAGCGTGCAGGTCGTCATGAATAGCTTTTAGTACTCCAGTCGTTTCTGTTATGTTGTCAAATTTTTGTCCACCGTTTTGCCTGCATAGTTTCTTGATTTACCAAAAGTGACTTGAAATTGAATTTTATTTGCCAACACGGTTAGATGGTATTAAAAAAACGCTAAGAAAAAGGGAGACACGCTACTGATCGACAAGAACGACTTGATTTTTGAGGACCGTGGTGGTTCGAATTACGATATTTCGCTGTGGAAGACGAATAGTCGGATGCGTGAACTCGCTAGCGTGTTTACCAACAATCGGCAACCCGAAGACATTCCAGACCCAACGATTTCCGACAAGAGAACCAATCCCCTGGGATGGAAAATACGGTAAATACTATGGTTTGACTTTTTATTTCATTGATTGCTTGAGAGTAGATTTGAAGCTGGACGATTCTTTTGTGTTGAATCAATATCTTTGTGCGTATAGCTGCTGCCAAAATTCACAATTAAAAGGTTTTTTTCCGATTCGCGCATTCCGGCAGCGGACGCAGCGCGCTATTTGCAGATTCCGCTGAAATGGGAGGAAGAGATTGGTGAGAAGGTTGTGAGCGGTCAGGTGATGTGGTTTCGCTATCCGTACAAGATCAAGTTTAAGAACCTAAATGGACGGTGGCTGCGGTCGTCCGCGACCCGGAGCAATAGCGAAATCAAGGGGAAAACAGCGACGTCCACGTCTAGTCCACTGCGGGTTTGCTGGGGCCGAATGGAGGGGTCTACACCGAAGTTCTACGCGGACGCGGGGTCTCTCACGTTCTTCGACCCGAGTGCCATGCCCAAGGCCCACGTTTCCCTCACCTCCACAGGGGAAAAGGGGTACTCGCCCATCATCATCAGCTTCGAGCTTTCCCAGACACAAACGGAGTACAATTAAGGGCAGGAAGATGAGGAAGTTTTCTACATGATGAAGAAAATAGAATCAGAAAAGTCTATCTTCTCTCATTCAACCTCGTCGTGGCTCCAAAAATCATCAGTTTCACGTGGAGGAAGCTATCATTTCGATCTACCCGTCAGCTACTTTTCAAGATGACCGGTGCATCTGGCTCTATGAATGTATTTACATAGAGTTGTTTGATATTGGAAAACTAGAAGGAACTTAAATGATGTCTTCTAATGGAAGCAGTACACGGTAGGGTTCCAGCATCAGCTGACGTTGCGTTTCAAAGACCTGGAGAAGTTGGACCCACGCAGGAACACAGACCACTCGCCAGTGGTGGTCCCGAGTGCAATGGACACTGGAGAAGTAGTAGAGTTGGACGCGTTTCAGAGTGTTTGCGGTATGCTCTTCGTGGAAATGTGGTCCAATGACAGGGAAGGCTTTCCTATGCCCAATGGATGCTACTACTCGCGGAAGTATCGCGACGCGTCAGAAGGCAACGCCGGAAACCCCCAATGGCGTGAGCTCTCTATCGTCTTCCCGTTCTCGAATGGCTTCAAGCACCAATGCAGGACACACGCGAATGAGATTGTCAGCTGTCGGTACCAGCTCACGCTCAATGCGCAAATTGGGGCACAATCCTCGGTTTCCAGTGGCGATAACCTTGTAGACGTGTACACCAAGTGCCCCAGGTGTGGCCCCAACGGAAGCGACATCATCTTCGAAAAGGGTATTACCTATATTTTTGTGGAGTAACTATCATACGTAGGCTTTAGAGTTGTTTGGTTATTTTCTACTGAGGCCCAATCAAGCAGTAGAAGTGCTGGATAAGTAACAACTTACTACTAGGTAGAGTAGACGCTATGTCTGTGCAGTGTAGATGATGAGAAGTTCATCACATGAAATCGTAATCAATCTGTCTCAATTTTTACCAAGTACATCAGACTACAAAATGTGATCTTCGTTTAGGTGCAACCACTGTGAACGCGGACAGCCCCTTGGGGGGCACGCAAACACCCGGTGATCAAAACTCACCGAAGCTTGTCTCCTTCACGATTCCATCTCCCCAGAGCGATGCAGCTTCTTCGTCGGACGAGGCGTTTGACCTGAATGCGAACACGGTGATAGACGCGCAGTTGATCGGCGGCGACGCGTTGCAAGCGATTACACAGAAGAGCTACTTGCGCCTCTACCTGTATCCCCTCCTCGCCTGGGAGGTGCCGACCAGTGTTTGCTCAGTGCTCTGCGTCGACTATGTCGTCGGAGGTACAAGCTTCAAATGCGGCGAGCCGACACAAGTGAATCCGACGTTGGAAGTCGCCATCATTTCCCTGGTACCTACTACCTGTCATATTCATATTTTTACTTGCAGGTGGCTTCATTTTTCAATAACTGGTAGTAGTACACCTGAGGTACAAATGGGAAAGACTTTCTGTCTCATACTTGATATCTGAATAAGAGGACGGTGTCTAGATCCTGTGCATTACGCGACGAAAGAGACGGGACAGAATTAAATGACTTGGAGTTACCGAAAGCAATACAAATTTATCCCTAAAACAAATTCTCAGACACCGTTCGAGCGTCGAAACTTTTTGAAAGTGCGGATGCCGGCACAGATGACTGACGTGATTACTTCGAATATTCGACATGGAATTCAGATCTCTTCTCTAGAATTTCCAGCGACTGGATTCTTCAACGTTCGCATGGGCGCACAGCTGACGGACGAACGCGACGAAAAGCCAACTTTTGTGACTTCGACCGGCCTTCTCCATAAAAACTCGGGTATCGGTGGGGAAACCAGCGGACGGATAGTTAAGCCATAAAAACTTAATCTAAACTAATAACAAAAGCTAAACTAAATGTCACAGGGCCATTTACACTGGATGATACTATGACTATTTTGCGTTACACTTGCAAAAACATGTTTCTACCATAGGCAACCCAGTATCTAAGAGAAAAGGACGTAAATGTGCTGGTGCATCATACTGACTCCAAACGAAACCTATCGTTCCTCTTCCTCCTTTGTTGACATAGTACTATCTGGAAGAAGATAGAAGATCGAGCATATCGTAGGATTGGCTAAAAAACAAATAAGAAGAACATGAAGAAGATGATGATTGTTTTCTTATTCTTGATTTGGACACTCCGTTTCTAAGATGCTGGTGAACGGCGCGACTGGGTATGGTCCTAAGCCCTTTCACTCGCAGATCCGAAACGTTGTGCACGTGAGACTGCTTCTTGGCGCAACACTATTCCACAACGGTCAGACAGACGCCGCCTTCCTGGAAATCCACGCGCCGTCGAGTGCAAACAAACAGTACGTTGGGCGCTGTGACCTCACGGAGCCGGCAGCCTCGAATATCCCCAACTTTTTCGATTTCGATATGGATGGCTATATCGACTACAACCACGGCAGTTTAGGGACGGCAAACACCGAAGGAAAGTGGAGCTTCGGCAGCAACCAATACATCTGCAAGTAAAATTTTAACTTCTAACCTTTCTTGAAGATGGGAACGACTACAGAAGTCGTTGCTGGCTTAAGCTTGTGTGTCTGGTGTGAACAAGACGGAATAGTTAGGCTGACTCTGTGATTTTCAGAACTGAAAGTGATCATGGCACGTTAGCCGCGATCATTACACATCAACTAGATGTTCCACGTCGACTTCAAGAACTAGGGGTTAGTAGTGTAATTAGTTCCTATCCTGTTGAACTACGCAACAATTTTTTTTCTTCAAGGTACACCTTGGAACCGAGTATGGTAATCTACGCGGGGATGTCATTGTACATCAAGATCACGGTTGACAATCCGATAGAGTCGATGACGAAGACGGACCCCGATAATTATGCGCTTCAAACAAAATTGATACATGATCATGATGATGAGGATCATATGAATTTGCTGAGATAGCTTCGTGTTGTAGTTTAGGTTTGCTGCTTGTTTAGAGATACAGTGTGGTTGTTGAAATGTAGTGGTCACCGTGTTGACATGTAGCAAGGCCCTTGCTTTGACTACATTTCTATGTTAAAGTTTGTTTGCCTTTGCGCTGAGCTCAATTATATCTGAAGCCAGCGCAATCGTGTAGCGAATAGCGTCTTCTAAGACATTCAGTGGAAAATCAAGCTGTTTTCGAAGGGCGTAACGTCGCAGCAGACCGCGAGAATTATGGCGGGCCCTGATGGCAGCGGTATCCCATTCAATCCTGCGAAAGGCACTGTCCTGGAGCAAGAAGCGAGCTACCAGCGACCTGGTGAACCGAAACTTTGGTACCAAAACGTGGGAGTTGTACAGCCGCTTGAAAAACCTGTCCTTAAGTCTTTGGTTCTTCTTGGTGATTCATTGACATTGATTACATTAACGCAATACAACAGTTTATTTTTCAGGATTGATTCTCATTCTCTCGAAGGCGTCTTGGACCACCTGGGTTCAAAATCCGATGGATCGTGGTCTACTAAATCGTATCGTCCTTGAATGGTATATATAAATACTAGGTATCAGTACAACTATCGCCGCAGTTAAAAACTGTAGCATTCTCCTGAAAATTGACCTTCTTCGTTAGTAGAAGTAGCCTTTCTTCTTAGAGGATAGGTGACTGGCCTATTCCTACTGAGGCTCTTCTTATTCCTTACTGATTTATTAGTCAAGCTCTAATAGTCTATCCCCGACGCACTTTCGTCTGTCCACAAGCCTGCGCGTTGAGCATTCGGACGTTTATATCTTTTTCCGCATCCTCACCACCGTGGGTCGGAACGGGTACATAAAGATCGACGCTCCTTGCGGCTTCGACTTCGGCAATCAGGTGGTCGGGAAGCCGCAAGAATGCATCACGGGAGGTCTGCCAAGGTATTTTTCTATTATTACTAAATTGAATCCGCGACAGACCGGTGGCTATACAACGCGGGCGCTAGTGTTGACTTTGGGCATTCTGCTGCGGCTTCCGTGCGAGAGTTTTACAGGTATAAAGTAGCTAGGGCCCTTTTCTCTGGTTGTGGGTATATTTGGTGAACCGGTGGCCCTTAGCGGACAAACCTGCGCACGCAGCTGACGCTGAGCACTCACCGGAAGCGTTGCACAGGGCTCCGCCCTGCCTTCGAAGGTGAGACCTATGGGGCTGACAGGACGACGATAGCGCCGGCGGTTGATTAGTTTTAGCAGAGATGAGTATACTCGGTGATAGTTGCCCTTTTCCCTTTTCTATGTTCCTCTAGTCTTTCTTTTTTCTAGTTGGGTCAGTCTGCTTCGCCACAATTATTACTAAATTGAATTTACGTGTTGAGCTTGAGACCCGCAATGTTTCAACTTCACCTTTACTTCTTGTGTCTCGGTGGGTCGACGATAGTTGTCAGCTGAAATAATCTGAGGTAGCTCTTTCATACCCATGCTACCGCTTCTTCGGTGTCTCACTGCACATCATTTTTTCAATGTATTATTACGCCTGTTATTGATGTGGACTCTTCTTGATGTTGACGCGGCCAGGTACTACTACGATTACATTGATGTGAATTACGAGCCGACGCGGAATTTAACCGCCGTGTTGTCGTGCACAGCCAAAAACCTGATTCCCGAATGTCCTGCACCGGGTCCCTACAACCGCGGCGTGATGCACGTCGGAGACTACATGGGCTTGAATAGAGACACCGGACGCATGGATCAATACGGTTTTGCCGTGCGTGTGAAGCACAGTCTCGAGTTCAACAACCCCCAAGACTTCACAATGTGGAAGCTCTTTGTCGCAGACAGCAACGACTTCGTGGTAGACGGAACCCGTGACACGCTCTTCTTCCAGAAAGACAGCTATGATTTTCAATTTTTTTGGTCGTTTCGTTTTAACGATCTACTCCTTCCTCTTCATCTAGCTATGCGCGGTTCATCAACGGCTATGTTCAACTCAATTTCAACGGTTTTGGCGTTTATTGACACCTAAGTAGTGTTGATGTGCATGTGATAACATTTTGTTCTAAGACATTAAGGAGGGCGCCACGGATGCTGCCGCTGACAAGGCTTTTGGGTTATACGTGACCGACTTCACGAAGATGCCTACGATCTCGGTCGCGGTAGAGAACCTCATGCCTGCTGCGTACAAGCCGCAGGGCGACAAAGGCACTTACGTCAGCTTCGACGGCTTTCGCCTGCTCGCGGATCTGCACGGCGTCACCTTGCGCTTCACGAATCCCACCGGTTGGCGTTGGACTGTGGATCCGGGCGTCGTCTTCGTGGACCGGCCAAGAGGCACGATGGGCTATCTTGCGTGGCCCTGTGCTAATCTGGAAGTGAGCCAGTTTACGCAGGCCAGGTTCACCGGGTGCAAATTTCAGGGTATGCAGACCTACGGATTCTCCATGGAAGCGACCGTTCCGGATCTTTCTCCCACCTACTCGGCGAATGTGTTTTATCTGGAACTCGGGTTCATGGGCACGCAAGTGACGAATTCCACCGACAACGGGACTTATCGATACAACGCGGCACCTATCGATGCGCCACTTGTGCGGGCGTTGCGCAATACGGTCTTCGGTTATCGTACAGCGAGAGCCGGATCCGAAAACGTCGTCACCATACAATTTCGCCTTATTTCCATGCTGACGGCCAAGGAAGAAGCACTCGTTATCGAAGGTAGTTCTTGCATCTCATTTCTCAATTTACCAACGAACTCAAGAACTTTGAAGTTCCAGATCGTTTTCGATTATTTGTAACTCTAGACTCTCCTTACGTCTGCTTCGTCAAAGACTCTCGGTTTATTTCATCCTGTAAAGATCTATGTTGATCTTCAACGAGTGCTCGTTCGACATCTTCAGGTGAAGGCAAGAACGCATTGTTCCATTTCCGTTGTGATAAGCGGCAGTACGACACCACTACGGGGCTCACGTATGTGATCACAGAGCAGAACATCTTCGATTTTGGGCCACCCGACTTCGTGCGGCTGCCGCATGCCTACGGGTGCAAGGATGACGTGGAAGGGAAACTGTACCTGTACGTGAACGAAACTGCGCTTGAGACCATGTGGTGGCAGAGCGGGTACTACATGATGGAAGTGAAACTGCAAAATTTGCCGGAAAAGAACGAGGCCAACGACCAGTGGAAATTCGGGACGTTCCAGAACGGGCTCCCGCAGGAAATCCAGGGAGGCCCGCTGATCACTCCGGTAATGATCGACGCGGCGGCCACCACCCCAGGCTTTCCCATATTGGACGAAATGCAGAAGGGCTTGCTGGTAAAGTTTGCGGACGCGCAGCTGGAGGCGGACGTTCGGCGTGCGACCGGGCGCGACGACCGGCCTGGGTATTGGCCGGACGCGCCGCAAACGAACCAGCTCATTTTCCGATTCCAGATGAAGAATGCGCCGAACGTGAAGATAGAGGGCGGCTTCGTTCTGCGCGGTCCCAATGGCTTTCGCTTTGCGAACGACTGCTCGGACAAAATCGTGGTGGCCAAGGATAAGGTGTTCGGGGAACATAGTTCGCTGGGCATCTACTGCTTCCCGGACCACCTTACCAACTGCGGCGCTAACATGAATCCCTGCGTGCCGTCGCTTTCGAACCCGCGCTGCGTACCGATGAAGCACGACTCCAGCTACATCTACAGCGCGTACGGGATCGCGGAGTGGCCGGCAGGCAAGGAGCCGGAGACCTGCAACGGGTTCGAGAATCTGGCCCAGATCACCATTCCGGTCGGGCTGGACGACAGTCTGGACTACGTTTTTCGTATAGAGGTGGAGAGCAACCCTCCGCGAACGCCGGAGCCTAATTTCTGGTCGATCGAGTACTCTGGTGAAGCCTCCACGCTGTTCGAGTCCTTCGTACTGCAGACCATGACCGGACTCACGATGGCCGCGGTCAGCAAAGCGGTGCGTAGCGCCAATCTCGCAGAGAGCTTCACAAATCCTGTAGAATTCAATTTCCGCCCCTTCCAGACCGCGCCCAAGCGGAACGAGAACGACGCCTACGGCGGCCAGCTTACGGTGGAAGCGCCAACGGGGTACGACTTTGTGTACGAAACCGTGGCACGCCGTGTGCTGCGCGACGGCTCACCGGTGTCCGCCCACGACCAGAAGCGTCTAGAGCACCACCTTCGGAAGCTACGCATGCGCCGCCAGCTGCTGCGCGAGGAGGAAGAGCGCCTGCGAACAGGCGCTGTCGGAACAAATGCAGCAAGAGAAGAGAATCAGGAGCAAGTTCATCGTGCAGGAGAGACGATGAATAAAGGTGGTAGAAGAGCCACAACATCTTCAGCCACCGACGTGATCAGCTCAATGATGGCCGAGCGAGACCGAAGACGCCGGCTGCTTGAGGCAGTTGATGAAAAACTATCAGCGTGGGAGCAAGCAGAATTCCTCGAGAAGGGGTTGCCATTACCTTTTGCGCTGTACCCAGAGGACCCGACAGCTGCTGGACCTGGCATGACCGAGGTGCCGGTGCAGACGCGGCAGCTCGAGGCCCACAATCGGGCGCTGCAGCAAAAGCGTCGAAAACTTGCTTCTAAGCGAAAAGCGTCCGAAGCAAAAAGACCGCACCTCTACGGCTGTGACGCGTCCGCAGCATCTGCGAAGGACCAGGGGCCTGGATGCCTCTATGAGCGGCCAGAGCACAGGCGCTACACGCTTGCCAACGTCCCCGTTCCGGTTCCTGACGAGGATGCTCCTGCACCGGCGCGAGCTGAGAGGGGTGACCTCGAAGACGCGGCGTCGGAAGGTAGTTTCTCGATGTCAGCAGAGTTGGAGGCCGCTGTGGAAGGGACCGCGGGATTGACCGAGCGCGACACGTGGTCCTTGTCTGAAGACGATCAAAGACTGCTTCGAGAGGAGTTGGAGAGGGAAGCGGCGTACTACCAGCATCACTTCTTCGCGGATCAAGAGCGACAGCGGCGGCGTGGGCTCTTCACGAGGGAGCCTTTGCGGCAAATGGAGGAGCAAGAGCTGAGCTTGCCTCCCCTGCGTCGCCTAGTGACCAATAGGTGCAACCTGAGCCTGAAGACGCTGGATCTGACCACCATTATGGTGGAGGGCCGCGACGTGGACTGCGAGATTTTAGCCAACGGTAAGTTGCGAACGCGCATCCTGTCCTTGGAGAAGGAGCTGGTGAATACGAAGGACTGGCAGCTCATTGTGTACGTATACAACCGTGCGAACATCGTGACGCCGGAAACGGGAACCGGGAACTTCGAACTGCGTACCTTCGACAAGGACATGAAGCTTTTGGACTTGGCTCGCGTCCCCGGTTTCGACGTGATCAACATCATCAACGTATGGCAGGTCCGGAACACGCAGAGCGTGTTCAACGGGAAGGAGAAGGTGCCGAGGGTGGAATTCGTCTGTTCCCTGCCCGACGCATTGGAGCCTAATGACGACCTCGAGATTCAGGCACCACTAGGGTTCGACTTGCGCGTGGAAGGAACGGCAGGGCAATGCAACAACTTCCAGTGGGCGGGTGGCTACAACCCGCTGCCCTCTTCCATCGCGCCGCTGTGCACGTGCGAAGCCAGCTACGCGCTGAATGGCGTCCCTCGGTGCGGCATGCGCTTCTCGATGTCCACCACGACGAGCCCAGTGCTCGTCATGAACACGGAAATTCGCTTCTCAGTGGACACCACCAATCCCGATCAAGTGACGAGCGAAATTGGAAACCATTGGGTCGTCTTTCACAAGCGCGTGATCAATACGATCGTCGTCGGCGGTGTCACCTCCTTCGAGTTTACAACCAGGTAGAAGAATATTCTTGAGGAGTTCTCACTACATGAATGTGGTACATTATTGGCGTTTTCTCGAATGTTGATCCACAAGAGCATGATTTTGATTTCTTCAAACTTAATTGGCACTTTCGTGTCCTTCATCCACCGCCTCTGTATGCAAAGCATTGTTTCACCTTCTATTGATAAATATCAATCAGATCCACCCATGCGTATAAATCGTGGGACGTGCGGCCGCAGTTGCAAGAGGTTTCCATTACGATTGTGGGAAACAAGAAGGCCGCTGATGCCTATACTGATATTGCGTTCTCGTTTTTTCCTGTCCAAAACGCAGTGACAATGTTGGCAGAGGTGGTGTCACCACCCGGGTTCAAGTTTGGCACCTGCACCGTGGAACCGCCACACGTCATTGATTTGGCCACTGGATCGAACGTGCTCATCGTAAACTCGATGAACGTGCAGGCGAACGTGAAAAAGACCAACCTAGTGATCAAAGGCGTGAAACTAGGACAAGATGGCGGCCAGACACGGTGGAATCTGCGGACTTACATCAACGAGTTGGTGAACGGGCAGCCGCAGGTCCCGCAGGATCTTCGCGACGAGCGGTTGTCGGTCCCCGGCTTCATCATGCCAGGTAAGCTCCACGTGCTTTCCAGTCCGGCCAAGCGACTCGAGAGTGACTACTTCTCCAATCCGTCAGTGTACCCAACCATGTCTCAGTTCCCAGCGCGCGAGCAGGAGTTGAACACTGCGGAAATCACCTTCACCACCACACAGACAGTGTACGCCGGAGGCTACCTCTACATCACGTGTGGCGGACTGCAGCCCTACATACTGGATCCGGAATCCTTTTCCTTGTCTGGCGGAACCACAGTCGTCGACCAGAACGAGCAGATTGTCTTCTTGAATCCAGCCACAGGTGGGCTCGAAGTGCAGTTGAAGCCAAACAAACCCGAGACGGACGCGGTCATCCGCGCGAACGAGATCTACAATTAAGGCTACATAATACTGAAAAAGGGTAAAAAGTAGCACTTGCTCTTTCACGTTCATGTAAAAGGCTAAGCGTAGCCTTCATCCTGCTTAATTTTGAAGTAGAGACTGTACTGTGAACTTCTTTAGACATCACCAATCAAAGGTGATTTGTTCTAGGTGCTTTGCTCTAATGCCTGGTCCGATTTCGAGTAACGCCCCGCATCGGGAGTAGCTTCTGGACTCTGGAGACGTTTGCGTTGAACAATTTCGCGCTGCCTTCAAACACGAATGACGGCGACGAGGGGCCCTTCGATCCCGTGTACCGATTAGGCATTGAGATGGTCATCGTAGGTGGACGGACGCCACCGGGAGCGACGATCACGATCAAAATCAAGGTGATTTCCGGCAACGCTTCGGTTTTGCAGGTCGTGATCATCGCGCCCCCGACGTTCGATTTTATGCAGGACTGCGGTCAAAACTGCGAGAGCTACCTAACTTACCAGCCAGAAGGGCGCAAGAGCGTGCGCATTCGATCCCCAGATGGGATGGCGCTTACGATCGCGACTTTGAACGAGATCACGTTTCAGACGATTACGCCCTCGCAGACGCCGAGCGCGCGGTCGTGGTTTGTGCAGACGATGGCCGGAAGCATGTCGGGTGGTTTCCAGGTTACGGGATGGGCAAGGAATAACGGGTTCGACATCAACCAGATGGAACCCGCCACGGTGTGGTACCCGCAGCGTCGCAGCTTGCAGGGAGCAAACTTCGTTTTCAGCTTCTACTTTTCCTCGAGCAATGGCCGCGTCATTCGCGTGAATCCGCCAGTGCTGTACGAGGTGTATTGTTCCACGATGCCGTCGACGGGGGAGCCCGCGTTTTTCCAGGTGTCGCTTCCGGGTGGCCCGCCGTTGTGCGACGAGAATCCGCTGAAGCTGACGCTGACGACGCCCTTGCAGCGTGGGAGCTACAGCTTCATCATTGGCGGCGACGTGCCCATGCAGGACGCGGCGGCCGGCGTCGTGCAGAACTTTGCGCTAATCATCCTGAACGAGTTCGGCGACGTGCTCGACGCGGCGTACCAGTTACCTGCGCGCAATCCGCTGACCGCCATACGAGCGGCCAAGGCCACGCTGAATTGGGAGGGCCTCGCGCAACCGGGCATCCGGCAGAAGGTCCACGTCGGTTTGGACTTCGAGACGGACGTGCACAACGTGCCAGCTATTCTGGTGACCTTTCCACGGGGCATCACGCCCGACTTCTCGAAAGAGTTGGTGAGCCGCAAGCGAGACGTGAAAAACCTGAACAAGAATTTTCAGGTGGCGGCGGCGCTCGGCTGGGTGGACTTCAGCGCAGAGAGCGACTCGCAAGGATTCATCAAGATCCTAGTGGAGGAGCGTGCGCACATAGCGGCTGGCCGCTACAAATGGGAATTCTACGTGCAGATGCCGCAACAACTTCCGAGTGAAAATGTCTGGTTCGTGTCCCTCTGCTTTACGCGGCAGTGTCGCAACATCAACACGGAGCCGTCTTCGGCCATTCCTATCACCTTTCCCATTCCCGGCTTCAATTTTGACGAGTCCTCGTTGAAAACACTGATGCCATCCGCAGCGCGGCCAGCACGGGGGAGTCTGCCCCTTCTTGCCGCAGTCTTGGTCGCGCTCGTGCACTCGGCGGTGTTTCTTCTGAAACGTGTTCCAGGACGAGGCGCAAGCCCATGACTGTGCTAGCACAAAGGGGACCGATAAGGACTAGAACTGATAGATATTTTTACAGAGGGTTAAGTACATCATCAGACAGGAAGTGTTTCGGGTCTAGAACTAGAATCACTGATAAGGATCTTCCTTTCGCGCATATCAAATTAAGTAACCGGTAAATGGCACCACGGTTTGAGGCAGATGGTCTGTTGTCTAACGGTGGGCTCGTCAAGGGTCATACTACTTAGATAAATTAGTGCTGCATTTCGGCATGATTTGTGGAGGCATCACCCACATAAAGGGCTCGTAAGCTTTTTTTGGAAGGCGGACTTCTTTCATTCTAGGAACGAAACACAATAACAATCCAAAGTCGGCAACCTCGATTCTTACTTTTTTCAGAGCTGAGCTTTCCAGTGGAAACCGAATATAGCAGACAACTTGGCGATTGATTTTTCAGGGATCATGTATGGCTAGACTAAATATTCATTAGATCATGAAAGTTTATTGATAATGCAAAGAGCGCGTGCACAGTACTGCTTTTTTTTTCTACAGATTGTTTGAAGGAGTCGTAATATAATAAACCATGAGACACCAGGCCCGCGCATGTACATCACGCCTGTTGAGTCTCAATGGAGAGGACTTCTCAGTCATGACGAGGAGAACTAGTCCACCCTGTTAAAAAGGGTATAGACGCAAAACCTTATGATTATGCTAGCTAGAGTTGAGAAGTAGCTGGTGGTACTTGTTCAGAAAGAGATCAAAATTAAATCAGTCGTAATTTCGTGGTTTGCAGTTGCAGTTGTGCGGCAAAAGCACTAGATTGATTGGTCGCAGTCAAAGGTCCGCAAAGAAAAGGCTGCAGGTTGCATTTGTTGAAGTAGGCGAATAAAAGTTGACGAAGAAAATGAAAAATCAGTTCTCATTGTTATTTCCAAATTTGTTTTGCTATTCGTGATATCTTCATCGACACTGTTATTTCATCATGTCTTATTCCTCCAAAAGACCTTAGTACCTTCAGGCTGATGTTTTAGTTTATATGGCTGTCGACAGTTGTTGTCGCATAGTAATAGTATGAAACAAGAACGTCGGTGTACCGTAAGCTGCTATTATCATGTGAAGATTGATGCCACACGACCCCCTATTTGCCCCCAGTCATATGTTCTTATCCCCTTTCCTATCATGTTCTTTGCAAGTACTATCAAGTTTAAGCAGCTAACGCGTTCCGAGACTATGACGATCCAATTTGAACTATTTTGCAAGCCGCTAAAGGGGAGAAACTTCAGATCGAATGCAGTAGTGCATTGCAGTTTGAAAGTCCAAATATCCGATAAACACCTTCTTGCTGGAGCAGGAGAAAAGCAAGTATCATGATCTGCTGACAATGGCTGCATCATGCGGTAAGAGTGTGTTCCTTTCGCACGGTTCTCCTTGTGTCTTTAGAATTATCGGGATGCTTGACTTGAGAATTTTGCGATCGGATTGTGTGCGCGAAGGCTTAGGGTACTGTTTTTTTTACGTGGTGCCTGGAGTAGCCTATCTGCACTGGCTTACAGGACTAGGCTGTTTGAAGAATAAATGACACAGCATTTATGTCTTCGCGTCTCTTCGTCTCGCGCTCGGCCCTTTTCGACGCCGCGGCGCGTCGTGTCGTCATTTCTGCCTGCGGCTTCGAACGGGTCGTTCGGGACGTTATCAAGCTCCGCTGCGTCGAGCAGAAGTAGAGCTAGTTGTCCACGTGGTTTACCAAGAAAGAATGCAGGAGTGGACCGTGCATTCTCGTCACTAGCTGCGCTCTCCACGTCATCTTCGGAGGATCCAAGTCATAGTTCGGACAGCAGTGGAGAGGTCGAGGGTGGGGAGCATAGGGAAGCCCAATTTCGTGAACTCGATGACCTGCTGGATGAGGCACATGAGCATTTCTCGCACAGACGTTTTCAGGAATGCTTGCGGGTCAATGATAAGGTGATGGACAGGTGTAAACGGACAATCGGTGAGCACAACTTAGAGGATAGATGGGACCGTCTGTGCGCCGCCCAGGTGAACTCCGCTTTCGTGCTGAAATTATTGTGTGATTGGGAGCCAGCGGCAGCATTGCTGCGTGAGGCCATCACGGCTTTAGGAAAAAACTATGTTTCCTACAAGAGGGAAACAGCGCAAGCGCACGAATTGCTGGCAGAGATTCTCTTGAATCACGAGCAGTCTGTAGGATCGAGAAGCAGCAAGACCACAACGACATCGACTGACGAGGCAGTTGGAGACGAGAATTAAGGCTTACCCACCTTATCCATCTTCTGAGGCATCCAGAAGAGGCTTTTCAAGGGGAAAAAGCGCCTAAGATGCGTCTCAAGATGGATAGCGGTGAGCTCTATCTAAGAAAAAGAAAAGACAAGAAAGAAGTTGCTTGTAGAAGCACAGACGGCTATAGAACGAGCGCTCAGCTCCAAGAGGGACTATCTGGGTGAGGACGAGTCCTCCAATGAGCACTCTGCACGTGCAACACCACTACATCTTCATGGTCGTTACTTTGAGCGCACAGGCGACTTGGAACAAGCGAAACTAGTTTATCTTCGTGCGTTCGCGAATGCGTACCAACAGGGCGAAGTCCCGCCCCCACCGGCCTGCGGCAGTCTCAGCAACTACGCCAGTTGTCTGCAGGACCAAGGAAGCTATGAGCGGGCCATCGGCGTCTACGAACGAGTCGCACAGTTTCTCAAGGAAAACGCCGGCACCGAGACGAACCTGCATGTAGGGCAAGCCTACGCAGATCTTGGGGTTGCAGCGATGGGAGCCGGAATGCGCGAAGGGGCGTTACAAGCCCTGCAGAAAGCTCTGGTTATCCATGCTAGCATCCTCGGAATGGATCATCAAGGTTAAGGCTTCAAATTATTAGAATCACGCTCACTTTCTACTAAAGTCAGCATGAAAATGGACTCGTCTATCTTCCTCCTGGTCGAATGCAGCAGTTGCATCTTAGCTGCATTGTCAAAGCGAATTAATGGCCTGCTCTAACGTGGGGTCCAGAACGTGATGGCATTGGTGATGCAAGTGAACAGTGCAGAATTTCGAGAGACCAAGACGGACTTGGACACAAAGCAAGAGTTGATAGAACGCGGTCACGCATTTGTGGACGATCTTGTGGAGCAGAAGAAGACTATGAAGAGGATAGAATTTAATATTCACCTGCTTAGCTCTGATTTGATACAGAAGATCATGAAGTACTTTAGATCAAAAGTACCTTCATGCGCATAGTACTACGAGTACCCACTATCATCTTCTTTCATTAAAGGGGAAAACGAGCGGAAGCGCGTCCGACTAACATCCGACGTGTCAGAAGAAACCCGATTCTTCGACCACGCAGGGTACGTGGGCCACGGGCCACGGGGTTACACAGTGCGTTTGAGGGCAGATCGCTCCTTCCTCGCAAACGAAGCAACCGATCCATATCAGCGATAATGTTGTCTGTTGTCTAACATGTTCGTTGCTGTTTAAAAAACACAGGAAATGACAAACATTGTCGTGGCAAGAAATAGCAGTAGCTTTTTTGTAGGTGGCATGCATGTGCTGGCACAGAAACAAGATTTTTAGACTCTTCGTTGTGATGAGTTTGTTCCACGAGAATACTAAGCATACGAATATAAATATTATAATACCTCTTTATCCACCAACACCAACGCGCATACTAGAGGATCTAGTCATGATAATCAGGATAGTCCCTTGTCGCAGGATCTGCAGAAGTAGTTTGGATTAGTCCCTTTACCTCAAGAATAGGGACATCAGTCAATCACTCAATCAATTATCCAAGAGTGACGCTCATGAGGGCTGCCGTGCTAGTGTTCGACTGAGAGGGAAAAAGAGGCAGACCAAATCGAAGACATTAAAAAAATGAATGATTTAGATGGCAGCCATAATCGAAGAAAGATGCCTGCCTACCAAACAAAGCCAAATGTCTAGAAGGCTAAAGAGCCGAGAGAACAGGGCTTTGAGTGGTCTTTTAAAACCACTTAGTCCTCTTTCGAAGCAAAAACAGAGTCGAGTCTTCCCTCTCAAGTTTAGTCCCATACTCCT